GTACTTCCCACTGTCTCGAACTACTACCTAAGCTTCAGGTGCTACTTCTGTAGCAACACCCCCTCACTCTTTCAAATATACAGGACTTGTTGGTCTGTTACGTGATTGTTGTGAAGCTTAATAACCCGAAAGTTACAGATAAAGTCAAAAGCTTTTACTTATATAATTTATGTTTCTGTTCTGTGCTTTCTATTGTCTTTTGCTGTCAGTCTATTGGACAAAACAACTCCACTGTCTCTAATTATTTAATCATCGGTATTAATTTAGGAGTAGTATGACTATAGATTCTCACCCTCAGATAAGTAATGGGGGACCATACACCGTAGTCACCAGGGCTTCAGCCAAATTAGGCAAACAGGTGAAGGTGATAGACTCTCGCATACCGGTCTTGAAGACCAGGGTAAATATTCTCTGCGCGAACAGATTGCCCATATCGCCGCAGTCCTACAGTGAAAATGTGAAAAGTCAACTAAGCGGATGTGGCTCCATCCCTGTTAACACGACTAGGTTAATAGAGCCGAGTGGTAAATCTGCACTAAGCGAGAATTGAATAACACCCATCCCCATAGTAGGCCTTGAAACAAACAGGAAGGCCAAAAAGAAACGTTCACGACGTTGCAAGACAACGAAAACGTTCCCCAAAAAGGCAGACGATTGCAAAGTCTGCAATTCTGTTGTCAAACAAGTAGACTCTGCTTTCGAATGCAACTTTTGCAAGCAATGGGTACATTGTAGATGTGACACCGGGGTACCAAAAGTATATTACGATTTTATGCGTAAGAACCCATGCCCATGGTTCTGGTACATATGCCCAAGTTGCCGTCCTGATGAAGCCTCGTAAAGTTCCTCGAAAGCTGAAGATGGCATAGAGGTATCAGGGAAAAACGTGAAACGTTCCACTCCCACCAACTCAGAAAACAGAACAATTGCACGTAAATCGGGGATACCAAAATCCAAACCGGTTATACTTGCAATCCCTGCCATAACTGCCCCAGACACAGAGGTTGAAGCACCAAGGGTATCTGTGGCTGGAAAAGACCCTTACCGTCCACCAGTAATAGTGGCCACGGCACTGCAACACACAATAATACCCAGTCTCACCAGATGAAACAAAACGGTTTTAAAGGGGATGACAAATGTGCTAGGACCGAACCTAAGTCCACGGTTAGTAGATCAAACTGCGTAATCCTCTTTAATGTACCAGACAGTAGTAGTCTGCTGGAAAACGGCCCTGTTTGATCAGGAACAGTGGTCCAACTTATGTAGCACACTGGGTCTGGACATCCAACCAGCAAAACTATGCAGACTGTATAGGGGCATTGCTGCTCCTCAAGGCAAACCATCCCCACTGAGGGTAATGCTGGGCCCTACCAAGGATGCCGAAAAAGTTTTATTGACTTCCCAAGTCCTTTCTATAGGGAGGGCCTGCAATATACGTGTTAGGCCAGATAGGCCATGGAAGGAAAGACAGATGGCGAGGGAGTCGCCAGAGCTTATTCCTTCTGCCTCCATGGTTGTTCATGGCATTCCCGAACTGGTAACTGGGAACGCTTGTGAGAAGCACTGTCACGATGTACAGCAATGGAGATGGTTGGCATCCCAGATGGCCCTGGGAAGTTCAGGGGCTGTCTCTATTTATAGAACGAAACGTTGTCATCGAACATCCCCAACCCCTAGTCACAATACGGCGGTGCAGCAGGGACGATGATAGCCAGTATCATCCAAGTGCTCCGATTGAATCAGAAGAAAAAACGCCAACAGGCCAACAGGTTCCCGGGGAATCGGCCAACTAGTTCGTAGGATAACTCCTCAACCGACAGCCCACATCACATCAACCACCCCGCAATACGAGGACGTGGTGAGACTGACTACAAGTTGCCTGTACAGTAATGTGAGAGGGCTATGAGGCCAAATAGCTGAACTTAGACACCATGCAATGGACTCTCCCCTCAATGAGCTCCCTGACTCCATATGGTGCCATTTCACCGTTGGGTACTGTAAATATCTAGTGGACAGCATTTATAGATCACCTTCATGTGGAGCAGACCACAACCAGCTACTGCTGAATACAATTTCAGCGACACAAGACGTGGGTTATGATCAAATTGTCATAGCTGGTGACTTCAATGCCCATCTCTTAACTTGATGACGAGATATGCCCATGATAGATTTGATCGAAATCTGCTGCATACCATCAGGGAGGCCGGATTCACTGAAAATGCCAGAATGGATAATAGATGGGGCCCAGATGGGAAATCTTCTAGACTGGATTATGTGCTCACTAGTGACCAGCTACTAGTGGATGACGTTCAGATCACGACTCCCATAGGTGGTAGTGACCACGCTGTCACAACATTCGACATAGTCCTCCGCGAGCGTTTACAGCGGGACAATACACAGCCCTATCTGTGTTATAACAAAGCTAATTACACCGAAATGCGAAGACTTGTCTGAAGCAAATTGGCCAAAAAATTGGACAGAGCTTACAGTAGAAGAACACTGGGGAGTGGTAAAGGAGATCATTCACCAGGCGGTCTCAGACACTGTTCCTTTAGTCACACCAAAAGCTAGAAAGCAACGTTCATGGCTAAAAAGCAGGACACAACGCCTTCTGCAGGCGAAGCGAAAAGCCTGGTTTGCGTGGCGAGTATCGAAGAGTCAACCCGAATATGAAGTGTACCTTGAACTCAGGAATCGATGTAACATACGAGTCCGGAGTGATAGAAGGACATTTCAGAGAAACCTCGCCAATAAGCTTCCCGTGAACCCCAAAAGCCTATACAGGTTTATGTCTGAAAGAAAACCGACCAACCAGGGAGCTTGCAATCTAGTGGGTTCTGATGGGAAATCTCTTACTAGTCTTGAAATTGCAGAGACATTCAGTCTAGCCTTTCACAGGCAACTGAACAGTAACGAGGAATTTACCCACACAAAACATCATGATTACAATGCAAGACCAACGTACGAACACCTGCTGGGTACATTTCAAATTACCCCGGCTACGGTACTCGTAAAATTGGGAAAGTTGGCTTCGGGAAAGTCTGCAGGTTGCGATGACATAGGACCATCCGTCCCGAAGCAGTGTTCAGAAAGTCTCTGCCAACCCCTAAGTGATCTGTTTCAACACTCCTTTGATGTAGGGAAACTTCCATGTGAATGGAAACGAGCCATCCTATCCCCCATCTTCAAGGGTGATGACCGGCAGAACGCGACCAGTTACAGACCAGTTGCGCTACTCCCAGTGATATCGAAGATATTGGAAAGTCTCATTGACGACCACATGAGAAAATACTTCGACGGGACTAGCCTACCCCATGAAGCACAGCACGGTTTCAGGAGGGGAAGATCCTGGGTGACGAATCTTCTACTAGCTTGGAACGATTGGACACTATCCTGGGATGTAAAGGTACCAGTCCATGTGATCTTTCTCGACTTTGCGAAAGCATTTGACGCAGTTCACCATGGTCTGCTCCTTCACAAAATAAGCAAGGCGGGTGTTTCTGGAGCACTTCTCGCATGGCTGAAAGATTGCTTAGACGAGAGAGAATTCTGCACCAAAGTCAACCGCATCCGATCATCCTGGCACACCTCGGCATCAGGTGTTCCTCAGGGTTCTATCTTAGGGCCGTTGATGTTTTTGATTTTTATCAACGACCTGCCCTGTCAACTGAACTGCTCTGCGCTTCTTTACGCTGACGACGTAAAGATTTGGAGAGCAATAAATTCATCGGAAAACTCAGACAGATTGCAGGCTGACCTGCAAACTCTGGGAGACTGGGCTCTGGCTAACGGAATGCCTTTCAACCTAGAGAAGTGCAAAGTAGTGCAACTTCATTCCGGCACGTCACAGAGTGTAAATTACACCCTTGGTGGCCAGAACTTGAGTTGTGTGCCATCAGAACGCGACCTAGGTCTTATTTTAACAGAAAAGCTAGACACCAGTGTAAATTACACGAGGGACGTCGCCAAAGCTTACGCAACTTCACACTTTGTGCATAGACAGCTGGGAGCTCTTACTCCCGAACTATTCTTAAGGTTGTATACGACATACGTGAGGCCACTCATTGAGGTGCATGATATCATTGCTCCTCCGCTACTCAAAAGGGATGCTAACATTCTAGAAAGTGTCCAGAGACGAGCGACAAAACGGGTGATCGGCCTCCGCAACAAATCATATGAGGAGACACTGTAGAAATTGAGTCTTTTCACACTTAGTTCCCGTAGTCACAGGGGAGACCTCATCACCGTCTATAGGATCTTAAATGGCCAGGCCCACCCTAATAAAAGCATCTTGCCATTAAGTGATTATAGGCTTCCACGAGGTAACCCGCTAAGGATAGCAAACCAGAGACCAAAGACTCGAGTGCGTTCACATTTCTTCTCTCTTCGAGTTTGCCGTCTCTGGAATGCTTTACCGGTGGCCGTGACTACAGCGCCATCTGTGGAGACTTTAAAGCGGGAGCTGGACAATTATGCAGAAATGCAAGGTTTGTGTCTCAATGGCTTATCCTCTTAAAATTTGAAACCACATTGTCAATGGATAAGCATACAAGCTAAATCCCACGACCCGTCCTGTCTTCTCTCACTTTACCGACTACTCTATCTTTTCTTTGGTGACCTTTATTATTTCACTTATAACAACCTATATTATCTACATTACAATCTATTATTATTATAACTATTCTACTTTTATGACTACACCGAATGACCAACGGGTGTTAGGTCAAACTCCATTCACGGCAGCAGCTGAGTCCTAACATACTGCACACTACAAACCGCAATCTTGACCACTCCTCGCACCACTCCCCTTGGAGTCTACCAGAGCTAAAGCAGTCGAGTGGCGGGATTTACTACGCATAAGTTCACCGAAGATCTGGAACCTCTACCTTACAATCAAGAAGCGAACTCAAAGAAATCACTGGTTTATACTAGGTCGTAATCAGGATATTGGATATCTACATCTTTGTACGATTCTTTTACTCGACACCCACTTGAGTGCTGTCGCTACTAACTATAAAGTCATTATTGACGTATGCTTACCTTTGAGTTTCTGGCCTTCCACATATTGTTGGTATTGATTATGTTGCGAGCACCATTGAGCGCCATTTTCAATCTCAGCCTAATCAAGCATGGAGCGCACGTTCATAATGGTCAAGCCTGATGGCGTTCAGCGAGGGCTTGTAGGAGAAATTGTCCACCGCTTTGAAAGACGTGGCTATAAACTAGTTGCTTTAAAAATGACACAGGCATCTGAACAGCTACTACATACTCATTATGAGGCACTTAAATCTAAACCGTTCTTCCCAAAGCTGATTGCTTACATGTCTTCTGGTCCAGTTGTGCCAATGGTCTTTGAAGGGCATAAGGTGAGTTATTTAAACGAAACAGCACCAATTAGGTAGTTAGCTTTGCCTTCCAGGTTGCAGATGATCCTGACTTATATAGCACATGGGCATCATGAAATCTTGTTTTAAGTGTGATATTCTGAATTTATACTGCCAGCGTTTTCGTATCTGAATTCTAGCGGTCGCTCACCAAACTGTTGTTCTGACAAGTACACAAACGCTTCAGTAGTGTGGATGGTAAGCCAATCGATCTGTCAGTCCTTCATTGGACGAGAATTCCAGTATCTCATCTCAACAAAGTGTGTGAGAACAGCAGACATCTCGTGTCTGGTGAAGAGCTGAAGATATGTACCTTTCTGTGGAGCCTGATGCAGGTTGACTCGTAATTAATACTATCAAACGTTAGTTGATAATTGGACATAAAACATCAATATTCAAAGGGTTCTGAGATGGGAATATTGAGCTTTCGCTACCACTGAGAAACTACTGGGGTAAAACTCGCCGGCATAATCTGCCCCCACGGGATAGGATGAATAGATCGGTTATCATCTCTTACCGGGGTTTTGAATGTTTTGGTTTGATGACTTTTCGAAGCAGGAGCTAGCTGGATTTGTAGAGTGCTACAAGTGGTATCTCAGGTATGTGAGACAGGATCAGTTAACGAAGTTAAATACTCATCCGACTAAGGCTAAGAGTATGATACTTCCATTACAATAAAATTATTTATATCAGGCACAAAGCTTGGTTTGACACAGATGTGTGCTAATATCTGTTGACGGTGTATTCGCGCTTTTTGGAATCTCAACTATCCGGAGCGATCTATTGTCGCTTTCAAGTATTGTGTATGAGCACTGCTCTCCTACTTCTCGGTTTGTGAAGTGTTTTCTTTACGATTTTCGCTGTCAGCGACGCGAAACTCAATGGGTATCTTTAGGAGCTTTTTTATTTACAGGTTGACCCCCAGAAATGTAATTTTACTCATGTTTATTTCTAGGCCTTTTAAGATAGATTGATTTGACAATTTATTTTGTTTCTGTTCTAGGCTGTCGAAAATGGACGTACTATGTTGGGTGCTACCCAACCGGAAGCGAGTTGTCCCGGATCCATTAGAGGAGATTTCTGTCAAGATGTTGGGAGAAACGTGGTCCACGGATCTGATTCTATTGAAAGTGCCAACAGGGAAATAAGCTTATGGTTTACTCCCCAAGAGCTCTGCCAATACAAGCAAAACATGGACCCTTGGATCCACGAATAATTTTTAAAATAAACTACACAGTTGAATAAAAGTTCTTAGATCGAGTCGAGAATGTGCATGGCTTTAATCTTTGTGTCAATGACGTGGGATATAGGAGTGCTGGTGGGTGAACTGTTAGCCGTTCATAAGTTCGTTCGACATTTTTTGTCACGCTTTTGTTTTGTTTCCACTGTTAGCTCTCGAATATCATGAATAATTGGCGTTAACTACATGTTATGAAGTGGCTTGTTCAATTCCAACTTGTCAGAGAGCAGGGTTTTTATCTAATAAGACTTCAATCGTGTTCCAGAATCGCAATTCACCTTTGACTATCTGATAGTGTTTCTCTTGTTTCCTGACGTAAACTATTTCTGACTGACTTCGCATTAGGATATCCACACCTAATTGCTGTAATCGTGTCCTTTATTAGACTGCCTTACCAATTCTTGATTCAAGTTCGTTTCTATTAGCTCAGTCTTGAAGCAAATACAACGAGAGGGCTCAGTGTGCCTACGAGTGGTGAATTACTTGTGCACAAGTAGAAATAGTATCGTGCTCTTCCACCTGAGGTGAAACAAGACGATTGCGAGCTGAGTTTCAGTGAATGCTTTCAAACTCTAATGCATACTGTTAGCAGAGAAGGCGATAAATTGCAAATGTGGTTTCTGACTCACAGATAGGCGCTAACGAAGCAGCTGAAGGTGGTGTTTAGTTATAAGGATTTGGTACTCGATATGCATGATAGAAACTAGAAGGACACCGCAGAGTATTTTCTTGCGTGGTCTGGTCTGTGGAGATTGTAGATTACATGATTTCGAAAATCCGCACGCATTGTGGCCTACGATTGGAGTTTTTATACATTGTAAGCCTCATCTATAGTGCACATATCCTCCCAACTCTCACAGATCTGAGGAAGATCGGTATGTCTGAGGGACTTGTTGGTTGTTTAGAGGTGCTGTGATGGTAATAAATAATGACAGTAGTCCATTATATCAAGACTGCACCATGCCAAGCTGCAGATTGCCGGTGTCATTGATTTGCAAATGGTTAAAATAAATAACACGTATTCAGTTTGTGATCACCGGCTTTCTAGTTAGAGGGCGATTGTAGGAAAACAGGAGTGATATGATCTGGCAATATTTAATTGAAATATTTTATTTAACTGGTTATGCGGATATACACGTCGGTAGTTGTTCTGAAAGCCTTGTGTCTCAGTGTTGTTATATTTATTGTGGGTTTGTGTCGTCTGTTGTAATAGTGATAGGTTTCAGTTAGGTGAAAGTGTGGTTTCGCTATCAGTGATTTGTGTTGCACATGTTTCCCCTAATGTGATCGGTGACCTTTATGAGACTTTCCCACAGTTTTTGCTGGAGGCTTCATCCTGGTTCGTATGGTAGGTTTCACAAGGATAGTTCCATTTTATTTGTTAATTTCCTGTGGCATATGCTCATTTTGAACTTCTGCACGTTTACTGTAGGAAACGTTGTTAGTTTTATTTGTAAACTGATTTGTGTGTTGGAGGCTACCAAGGATGTACAATGGTTTCTCATCATGGAGAAATTGGCGCTAATGTGTAGCTGAGTTTATTGAAGCTGGTCATAAATATGTTAGGCATTTGATTGGGGTAATATATGATTAGGTTGTGGTTTGAAACACTATTCGCGTAGGATTCAGTTTCCACTTCTATTTAGAGGAATGAGTTTATTTGTATATTTGTAATCTTTAACTACAATGAAGGATTGAATGTTCTCCAAATTCATCAAGTTGTAAGTGGAGTTTTCAGGACGTCTATAATCACCACCATTAATTTGAATGAAAGGATGAGTAGGAGCGAGTGTTTCTGCCTGTTAAAGTGAGAAAATGAATCTGAGATACATATTTGAGTGAGTAGTGATGATACTATGCGAATAAATGTAGGTGAAAAAAGGATTTTGACCGAAAACCCAGTGGTTAAATGTCAACTGCTTAAACTCGCGAACTGAACCACAACTTCACTACTAATGAAATTATTGTGAAATACTTGTTTACATTGTATCTTGCAGTCTCACCTTGCCAGTTATCATACAGCATAACAATATAGATAACTGAAGTGTTATAGTAATGCTCAAGTCTAATGTACCTTAATTGTTAAATTTATACCATTACGAAAAGAAGAAAATGAGAAAAGAAAAATTTTGGTCAAGTCGGTTGGCTCTTCATCGATGAGTAACAATTCAAAGCGAATTACCCTGATGAATAATCTGGACATTTCGCACAGATTTTATGTCTCACTTCCCTTCTTTTTCAGTAAAAAAATTAATTTACACGCCATATATGGAATAGTATTGGTTTCCATATGAAAATGAAGTTGGTTAGACACATGAAGTAAGAAAACAAGAGGGTATGTATTGAGGAATGTGTGAATTTACTTGTACCCTACACCTAGACGAAAGCAAATGTTTGTTTGCGCAGTTTCTGACAGTACTGTTTACTCTACCATAATTGTTACCAACAAAGTGACATGGTAATTGATCACTGTAAACTGATGAGCTTTGAACAGTTGTTAACGTGAAGTGTGAAGCAACTTGATAATATCCGGTGGCAATTGTATGTAGAGTCAAGTTGACATTTATCTAGTTTTGAGATAAGGGAGTCACCTTAGTTGAAATCTGCCTAAACCAATATAGTGCGAATATTAGTGGTACCTATCTCTGTAATCAGTCGTGAATGGGAGACCACTAAAAATCATAATTTTTTCCAAAAATTTGTTTCACCGTTTGAGTGCCTGACCAAGTGATTTTATTGTTCTATGGAGATGCGGCTCATTGATTTAAGCACTAGGCTTCCAGTTGCTGAGTCACGAATTCGAACTCCGTTCTACTCACCGTTTTGTTTAAGGTCAGTTACACGGAACAGATATTTCATGTGCTGGGCTAATTGCCACACTTATTTTGCATGAGAGCTGATAATACTACCGAGTCATTGAGGTTGAAGAAGGTGAAGAGAGACCGGAAATGTGATTCATTGGCTAGAGACGGACTGCTTAAGCTAATGTGCCACATCTCCGTTCAGAGTATCGAGGTTTGGACAGCCAGATAGTATCGTTAGATCTCACACATGACTCGTGGGTCATTGTCAACTGCGAGGAATTGCAAGTGGTTGATGAATAACACTAATTCAAAACACTGAAAATGATTAATCTATGTGATCGTATTATGTTATTATAAAAAACAGAAACAAGTAGTTTACGTGAAGTTTTGCACTTTCAATACTACTTGTTTGTATTTTGTAACCAACGGTGGCAAAACTCATTCGAATTAGCACCCTGAGTTTGACAGCCAGCCTTACTACTGAGAAAAATCATATGCACTATATGATAGCTGTAAGTAAGGCATTTATAAAGGAAATATTACGTGAATATGTCGCCTTGAGGTTACTTTACAATTAATATGGTTGACAAAATCCGTAACATAAACATTAGTCTCCACCTCACTGGTGACTAACGGATGGATGTGTCCTGAAAGTGCAATGTCAAGTCCTGGCTAGCAGGGTCAGGGCGAAGTGGATGGTATATGGCGTGAACTGACAGAATCTAGAAATCACAAAGTTTGAGCATTGTAGATTAGATCAAACAAATTATAGTCATATTTCAATAGTTTACACACAATGATTAGTCTTTGTTTTTGGTGATATTTCGAGCAATTAAAAACAAAACAATGACAAAACTTGGTATGATCACGGGCAGTGATTTTGCTCGAAATAATTCCAAAAACAAAAACTTATCAGTGTATATAAACTATTGGAATATATTTATAATTTTGTTGGAATTGCATGTTACTGTACTCCAGTTGGAGTGATTGAACTGTTAGAGAGCTGACTTCATAACCTGAGGGTTCGAACCAGGGTGGGTTAGTAGGTGCCTACTGCTAAAATCTCCCTAACTTGTGTAGAGAAGTAATGCAGTGATGGTGCTTGGTTCTCAGTGATTCCCCCAAGTGATGTTAACTTGTGACGAAATCTACACTGAAATGAATAGAAATCACTAAATGATCTACAATCTAAATAGTACGTATGTTCAACAACTAATTTATTCTTTGAAATATAAAGGATATAATAAAAGAGTTTTATTTATTGTCCAGAGGACGTAAAGGTTGAGCGAAATCTATTGTTTTCTGTACACATAATTAAGGAGGTATATGATGAATTTAAAGTGTTTATATCAGCCTTAATAAATTATGTGGAGTCACTGAGAAACCATCATTCGTATATATATATATATATATATATATATATATATATATATCATTCGTTTGTACTCTGAATGGAATATAGGGTTTCAAGCTTTGAAGCTTCAGTAACAGTGAATTGTTAGTCTCTTACCCAAACTTCCTTAGTTTGCAGGCTTACTATCGGCTAGGGGAATTTTAGCAGTACATCGGCCCGCAGTTGAACCTGGCAACATTTCCATCCCTTTCTTGGATGCGTCAAAGCATAAAGTCGATGTGAGAAAGTTACCTGCTCAAGTGAGCCTCCAACAATTGCACGGATGATGAGCAAATATGCCGCCAAACATTCGAGTCCTTATCTTCGTCTAATGAAAACGAGTATTCCAGATACTCGTTAACAAAGTGTAACAGAGACTCAGACTGACTGTGAATGGAATGATTAATGCATGATTTTAATACTATCATGTTTGGTGTATTAAAGAAATTTGACAGCAATAATATTATTGGACAACCTATAGGCTTTCTCTCTAGTTACGATGAAGAATCTTCACATATTTTTTCAATCACTTCGAAAGCAACCTCCACGAAATTGATGCTATGAGAATGAATTCAACCAACTTTGGTCATCACAATTGTGTTAAATACCAGTCCTGACTATCAGTCTGACCATAAGCAAGCTATCATTGACTCACTAAAAGCAGCCGTCTTTGGAATAGCTGATTACTTCGGGAAGGCAAATGTCTCCTTAAATATTGCTGGTTATATAGCGTTCTTCTCCTGAACTACAGATGCATGGTTGTTGTATAGTGATACCAAACCTCACCATATTTGTTGTCGTCTGCACACATTACTGAAGAGCTTCACAGTCTACTTGTTAAGATAACTACTTTAGAAATCATTCAGTTGCATACTACACACCTGCTAAGTGAAAACTTGTGACACTTAGCACTTTGAAAATATGTTCAATGAGTGTTGATGAGAAAGCGGTATTTTTCTTATTTTATTTCTTTACTGACTGCAGGTTATAAAAGATGATCTACAGTTTCGCTTCACCATTTTTTTGTCACTCAATGCAGCAATCAGAAAACACTACTAAAGAACAGTTCAATTCGAAGTTGTAGCAGGTAGGAATTCAAACAAAAGTTTATCAAAGTATCATATTCTCAATGTTTGCAGGAATGAAATGTTTGATCTGCATTGTACAGTTATCTGTCAGCTGCTTTTGAAAACACTACAACATTCACAGTGGTTTGAGCCGTGTAGAGTGCCTGATTGTGGAGCCTTTGAAATGCTACGAACCATGATTCAAAGTTGTTGTCAATGGTGCATACGCATTCGCACTTTGTCATCCACCATATCTATTGAAACCTCATGTTTTTCCATGTTAATATTCATCCTCCTGCTTAGTTTCTGCTCATTTTAGTTCTTTTGAATATCTTTTTCTGTAACAATGTGAGCTACATGGAGTGTATCAACTTGAACTGCTGTACTTCTGTACCAAATCCCATGTTAGAATGTCAGTCATTCAGCACATGATGGCTTTAAATTTGGTATCTTCTTATTGGGCAATCATTGATAAAGTCATATACAGGATTTCATCATGAGCTGATTTCGGTTAGAGTACCATTGGAAAACCTAGGAGTACCGGACAGCTGTTTCGTTCTAGTTTGGGACTCTCAAGCAGTACGCACCCACTAGGGTTTTCCTATGGTTCTGTAACCGATGTCAGCTTATGATGAAACTCTGTAACCAATCAGTCAAATCCCTACAAACCAATACTTGAAAGTCATATGCAATAGTGCGCAATCATTCTCATTAACAAAAGAATGCAATAAGTTTTAAAATTTCTACAACAAACACAAATATAAAGTGAACTGTAGGAATTCTTTCTCTGCATACTGTTTTATTGTTGTCTTTGATGGATTATTTTTTATAAATGAATACTGAATCCCCCTCTGTTATACCAGTTAAAATTATTCTATGATACAAAATGGGGTCAGTGGTTTCTTCAATGGTGGAATACTCGGCAGCTACGCGGGATGTCCGGGTTTGATTCCCAACCGACGTATACCAAAGTCTCGTTTAATTTAATAGCCGGTAGTAAGCCCCAAAAAGAGTGAAGGTTGGACTAGTAATCCAGCCCAGCAGAAATAATCACCTATTCCTTGAATTTCGATGCTCAGACTTGGAGACCTATAGTTCACTCAGAACGAACAAAATAGGTTGTTACGTAAGTCATAATCTTTTGGCATTAAAGATGACAACACCAGGTGAAGAATCACTTGGTTTTCTGCTTTCATTTCCATAGGGGATTCTGTACACCTTTTCATACATCACATGAGTAATAAACACTTAGTCATATGGTCAGAAGGGATGATTGATCAATCAGTTAAACTCACTGATTTCAGCCCTTGACCTTTTTACAGGTAGGCCTCGAGTTCGAATCCGGTCGCAACTACTTGGGTTGTAGCGAGTGACCGTGGCTCATAGACCCAGGTGATCAATTACTATTCGAACTAAATGATTCTGTTCATACAACATGGGGTCCTCTAAATTCCATTATCATTATTTTTTTGCCACACCATCTATGAACGACAAGGGTTTGCTACTTGAGTTACACAATAGCTGGGGTGAAACTTCTCATGTTACGAATAAAAAAGTGTAGTCATTTGGTTTATTCAATGAATGACATATTCCCATAATGAGTCATAAGAGAAAGACGTGAACAAGGAAGAAAATTTTCTTTTTTACGATTCATTTTCATAAGCTGCTGTACAATCGTCGAAAAGAAAACTTTCTTCGCTGTTTACATCTTTTTCTCATTTGCTTTATTGTGTACGACACAGAATACTTTTGTTTCTCAAAATGATTCCACCAGTAAAAAAATTAGACGGAATACACACAGTTATAACTCACTAACTCGAAATACATTTTTGCCATGTAACAGGCTATGCGGCACATTTTTTATGTGATAGCTAAGGATAAGACATAAGTATCTCAGGCTGAAGTAGGTGGAGCGGGCAGTCGAATCTGGAACATATTTACTGGGAGTCGAATGCTTGAGACGGTAAGGTATGTTCACCCTTTGCTACATAGATGCCAAAGGACCACAGGTACAAAAGCAAAACCATTATATTCTTGATATAAGGATATGACGAGAATCAACGTTAGACGTTGCACGAATAGTATCAAGTTCAATCATCACATTCCGAAAAGGCATACATTAAGAAAGAATTGATAGCTGCTATTATGACACGAGGATAAGCCTCGTAGAACACAAAGAGCTATATACGGGTTGTTTCTGGAGGCACTACTACTAATACGCCGGCCGGGTAGTAGTTATAATCAAATTACAGTGAAATTATAATACTAGCAGATGGTAACAGGGCATCCCCCTCGGAAGACGACCGGTGTAAGAAACGATATGTCCCGGACTAAACATCTATATCAGTCCATCGCCATAAGTAAGTAGGTTACGGTCCATTATGTGCCTTGATAGCTATAATTAGCTTCTGGATTTGGTTTTTCCATTGTACGTAATTCAAGAAGAGACCAACTGTTCTTCATTCGTGTAGCAGCAACAAAAGTATCAAAGCTCAGACATGAAATATCTTCCAAGAAAAGGTAAGAAGCCTAGCTAATTAAATCATAGTGCAACACCTAATTTACACGTTACACACACCTGAGAAGAAATAAAATGTGTGGGTTGCTTTTAGAGAAAATATGTATATTAAAAGATGAAAATATGACAACAAAGAAGTTAGTTCACCAAACCCTTTTAAACAAACATACAGACACCCACATCACAGTTGATAAAAAACCACAAAATGAAAAACTGAGAGGAGGTGGGTGGGTGAAATGAAAGAAGGAAAATACATTGGAAACAAGTATAAAAAAGAGAAAGAAACATACAATTTTGGTTTAAAACTATAGTAATAATAATAACGGTAATAAAACAACATTTGAAGAAAGAAAATGTATGTGTGAACAGATTCGTTAAACAGCGAATCCATCATAACTAATAATGTGTAGATACATGTGGATAAGATGAAACAAAACTGTTAAGAATAGTTATAACGATAAGAATAATATAACAGAATGAGGAGAAAGGGATATTTAAATTTTTACATTGAAAATTGTCAGAAAACCCACTTAGTTATTACAGTAAGACGAAAGAATATTATTTATACCAACACAATGACAATGGTCTCACAAACGTGTACTTATCCATTTCACCTACATACAAGACAAACAGACGCACACATGGGAGGAGGGGGGAAATGGTAACCAGATGAGAATAAACACCCCACATATGCGATTTTAGATTAATGAGAAAGAAAAATGTAGATATAATCGTAATATGAAATCAAATCGTCGGTAGAAAATTTTTGGATTTTAAATGCATACATTGTATAAGTATATGCGAGAGAATACACACCCGTGTGCGTGTGTGTGTGTCTGTGATGTGTATTATTGTCAACATTTTGGTGAAAACAAGATGAATAGGAATTGTAAACTCATATATATATATATATATATATATATATATATATATATATGCGTGTGTAGATGGGTGTATGTAAAACATTTCAAACTAAACAATTACTGTCGACGAGGTTGATGATGACGTACGTGTAGATCGGGTAGATGCAGCAGAATTAATAGTTAACTGATGATCTGATTGTTTCATCATAGCATAACCACAAACTTCATTGACAGAAGTATTATTATTATTATTAGTAGTAGTGGTAGTAGTAGGTACACCAGGCGGCGTGGATGTGGATCCACCAATAGCCGATTTCATTTTGGATCGATTAACTGGAGTAGTATTCAAGCTACTACTGGAAGACGTTGGCGCTATCTCGTGTTCAGTTGATGTAGACGATGGGATTTTGTTTAAAGAACTGGCTGGGAAATTTAACAAAATAAATACACAGCTTATATAGATCAACCATGTTTTGAAAATATATTTTAAAGACATAATTAAATCTTTCAGAAAAAGGATAATGATCAAGAAAGTCTTTGATGATAGAAAACCTGAGTTAGGTGTGAAATAAAAAAGCGGTTTGATCTGCATAAAAGGTGAACAATAAATGACATTAACAACTAATGAATCCGACAAGATACTGGTCAAACAAACTAAGGACACTAAAGTCTATCTTGGGATTCATTTTCAGGCTAATTTGCATTTCCTGTCGATTGATATTATTGGACAGAAATGCTCAGTCGCTGTTGACATGATGACTGATAGTCGTTGCACAAGGGATGGCTCTTTTGGCCTAGTAGGTAATGCTTTGGCGTGGATACACAGTTCGGGTCTCAGTGGGAAGAACGTCACTCAATGGGTCTAAAATAGGACGGAATACGATTCCTGGATTCTACGGCTAATTATCAACTAAAATTACAAGAGACATACCTTCTTGATCAATTATCTGGAGTTCGTCCGATGGCTTGAAAATTTAGAAAGTGATATGTCCACCCGACTAGTTAAAAATCTTATTACAGTTTTCGTAGTCATAAGGAATTGAGCTATTCGTGTGTGTGAAAAGTTTGTACATTGTGGAGCAGATTAAATTAATTATAATTATATTTCAATAGTTTACATACTATTGAAGTATAAATATAATTTAAACTAAGATATATTCATTCTTCAATGAAGACTATTCACCATGTCAGTCTATTCAATTATGTCTGATAATTTGCAGAGATAAATAATTCGTAGTGTACCCGTGTATCGAACGTCTTACTAACGAACCACTCACGTTATTAAAAAAGACCTCATTGATTAGCAATGGTTGCTAATTAGTCTACTTGTCACTGTTTGTTTACCAATCAGCAGTATTCTCTATTTTGGTATATGCTAGCAAACATGGATACTGAATGTAGAGATGATTTGAGAATACTTCCGGGGCACTTAACAAGCTTTGTTTCTCTGATTTTATCAAACTACTCAGACGAATGATATAGTGCTTAGGGATACAGTTACAGAAAACAATGTTAAGGCAATGAAATTTGTAGTCCTCTGTTAACACAGGTGGATAAAACATCTGTTTATTTACTGCTTACCTACCTCAGTGGTATAAAGTAGGTTGTGCAAAGTTGAAGGATGATCAGATGAAGACTATTATTTTATGAAGGTTGACTCAATTGTTTAACTCCTTTGTCTGTCTACTTCTTCTGTATCATGTGCATATGGATTTTGCAAAATAGAATACGAAAAACGTAATCCTTAACTCTACTTCAATGATATCTGTCTGTATTGGACTTACATTTTATCTTATTGGGGTTGTATGAGTATATAATATTAGTGGAACACTGGACAATTCCATACAGTGCTTGCCATCAAGGCTTAATTAAGGTTATATAATATCGGATTGTTTAAAAGCGATAAGGTCATTAAAATGAGCTTTTTTCAAATTAACTACGGGTAACTTACCATCACTGTCTACTAATGATCCTTTGAGACGACTGACCGGTGACTCAGTATCATCACAATTTGTTGAAACTGCTTTCACCTTTTGTCCTCCACTGGATATATCTGAATGACAGTTAGATGTCAAAAGTACAGCATCATTATCTGGTGCAATGGGATGAAATTTATTTGGAATAGAATTAGCATCACTAATAGATGTTGTCATTGTTGCTGTCGGTGTTACTGTTGCTGTTGATGACGAGGGCATAACAGGCATATCACTAACATTTTGCATATACGATTCAGCAAGAATTTCTTGTTCCATAGCTAAACAATCCATAAAATCACTAGGCAAAATTCAAGAGAGAGAGAGAGAGAAAACGTCAAGTGTATTAGAGATGTATAGTTGCGATCACATTTGTATAGGAAAATTAGTTCAAAGGTGTCATTCGGTTTCTTTTCATTTATCTGAAGTTTTGATGAGAAGTTGTGACCACTGGGATTCACACACCAAGGTTGGATGCGGAGGAAAACAGACATTCGCCGAAGACATTGGCTGACGATGACGAGCGATATATGTCATGGATGCGTAGAAGTTAGCATTCATGAGCTATTTGATTCTACTTCACTCGATGAACGGTCACCGAGCTTTAATACTGTTCACCAAACGAGACTCCATAAATCGATGATGTAAGTGCAATCCTGAAGACACAACACTACGCGAACAGATGAAAATGACACTAAGAGACAGAGAGAGCGACAAAATCTATAATGAATTTTTATTCCTTTAAACAGAAGACCACATCTAAGGTCACAAGATTGTATTTAGAAGCAAAAATAAATACCAATTTAAATCTATCCACTGCAGACTGAAAAAGCGCGTCAAATGCACTGTTACACAACAACCGATTGGCATTTCTATGCAGTTAACAATGAACTGCACCCATTTTTCCTGCGTGAGAGCTATGATTTCATCAGACTGCTCCTCTTTCTTCAGTACTTGGAAGTTGAGCTTCACACGGAGAAAATAAAGAGAAATATACGGTTAAAGTGAATAAAAATAATGAACTTCGAATTGGGTAGAGAAAGATGGTGAGACAAGAAAAAAGATAAAGCGAAAACTAAAAATTATACATTATAATTTTTCTGTGACTTTTTAATGAAAGTAAACTGATGAATTTTAACAGCATTTTCCCCACCGCATTATATCAAAGCTTACCATTTCGTCAAGTGTATTCACCCCACTTAATGTCATTAACCCCACCTAGTCAATTCGATTTCCAGCTGGTCCGAAGCCCAACGAAAGAAGGGTGCGTGGCTGTGAACCCAACAGCACAAAACTCATTAAACTGCGAGAGAAACTAAAACACACACCAGATAAATCGAAAATACAAAAATTCAAATAGTGATCTTATTCTTCGCTGGAATTGGAGAGGCGAAATGACACAGCGGGCTGGTGAAAGCCTTCGGGAAGCCGGTCAGTCAATGTGTCTTCTCTCGACTAAAGCAAGAGTAAGAATGGGTACGTGGAATGTCCGTACAATGTACGAGACTGGGAAGGCGGCTGTCCAGGTAGCCAAAGAGATGCGAAGATATGGCTTAGAAGTACTGGGTATCTGCGAAACCAGATGAAATGGATGTGGATTGACAATGTTGTCAACTCGAGAGTCAATAATCTACTCCCGTCACTCAGACGACAACCACGAACACACTGAAGGAATGGCTATCCTGATGTCACCAGTGGCAGCCAAAGTCCTAATGCAGTGAGAACCCATCTCCTCCTGCAGCATAATGACATCAAGATTCAATTCGAAAGGAAGGAAGGATACAACTGTCCAATGCTACGCGCCTACAAACAACTAAGAACAAGAAAGGGGAGATGTCTATAGACAACTACAAAGAGAATTGGACAAAACCGCAAATGGTGACACTAAAATCATTATGAGATATAAAAGACAAGCTGGAAGCAGACAATGCAGGAAGAGAATTCATAGAGGGTCGAGAGGCTCTGAGGCGAAATGAATAACAACGCAGAACTCTTCGCAGATTTCATCTCAATCTCAAGGAAGTGGAGACGCAGCTAGCCTGCTGGATACAAAGTCAAGAAGGGGAGTAGATGTGGGTCCAGATCATCATCTAGTTCAATAAACCTTCAAGGTGAAGCTGAAATCCTTCAGAACAACGGGAGACAGACCTCAATTCAAGTTCAACACTCAGAAACTGAAAGACGAAACTACAAAGGATACCTTCACTGCAGCCATAAGAACAAAGTCCGGAGACATTAGGTGAAATCACTGAGGAAACCTGCGTGGAAGAACATCGGAACTCTCTGAAGGTAATGTTCAAGGAAACGTATACAACTGTCCTAGGAAGAAAGAAAAGGAATGGCTCCCTATGGATACCTGACAGCTAATAGAAGAGAGGAGGATGGTGGAAGAGAAGATGACTCAATGCAAAGATGGACAACAGAAGGAGAAGCTGAGTTCAATATACATTGCACTGAATAAAGAAGTGAAGAAGAGTGCTCGGAGAGACAGAAGACACACTGGAAACTGAAGCAGAACAAGCCGTGGATAAAAGAGACCTTAGAACATCATACCAGGTAACCAGGACTCTATCCGAGAAGAAATTAACACCGTCGAAACCTGTAAAAGATGTTGAGCGAACCTAATTACCAAGGAGGAGAAACAGATAAAACAATAGACTGATCATTTCAAAGGATTCTTGAATAAACCATCCCCTACAGAAACAAAGCAAAAGCACGCACAGAGCTGCCTATCAGTGGACAGCAATCGTCCGATGAAAGCAGAAATCTTGAATGCGATCAAGCTACTGAAGTCCGGGAAGGCAGCAGGACCAGAAGGAATTACCCCAGAAGCACTGAAAACGGACCCAGAGACTGCGGCATATGCGCTCAAGCCACTATTGCAAAAGGTCTGGAAAGAAGGAAAGGTACCTACCGATTGGAAGAAAGGCTACCTCGTCAAGCTACCAAAGAAGGGCGACTTTGGCCTGTGCGAGAACTGGCGTGGAATAATGCTCTTCTCCACGCCAAGTAAAATACTAAGTCGTGTCATCCTGGAGAGAATAAAATATGCACTGGATACAGAACTCCGCCAACCCGAACAAGCTGGCATCAGAAAACGGAAATCATGTGCTGATCAAATTGTAGCTCTACACATCAACATTGAACAGGGCATAGAATGGCAGTCAAATCTCTACGTCAACTTCACCGACAGTGTTGGCCGTGAAGTAATTTGGGAACTATTTCAACACTATGGCGTGCGGCGCTTAAATCTTTATCAACCTCATTCAACCACGTGTCAGGCTATGCACAGTGGAAAACTCAGCGACGGCTTTGAAGTGAAGATAGGAGTAAGGCAAGACCGCCTGCCTATTATCATCGATTATATTCCTAATTGTCATGGACTGGTTTATGGATCAGACTATGGGGAGCGTGGAGATAGGAATACGTTGGACCGACAAGAAGACTCTCGAAGATCTGGATTTCACGGATGATTTATGTTTAGTGTCATACAAACTCGAAGACTTACGGGCGAAAACCAACAAGCTGGGAGAAGAAGCACACGGAGATGACAGGACTTCAGGTGAACATGGAGAAGACGGAGGTGATGAAGATGCCTAACCAACCAACAGTAACAACAACAATTAGCACCAATCACCATCAAAGGGGGAGATCTGGCAGAGGTCACTTCATGCATTTGTCCAGGCAGCATCATTTAAACTACAGGGGGAACGGATGAGGATGTCAAAAGCAGAGTGGGGAAGGCAAGGTAGACCTTCATCACCCTGAATTCAGTTTGGAAATCTTCTGGAATCAGAAAAAACAACCAGATTTGGATTCTCAACATCAACATTAAGTTAGTCATTTCTCCTATGAGGATGAGGTGGTTGTATTGTTTGTCACTCTAAGGACTTGCAATAAGTTACAGACTTTTATCAACAGCTGCCTTCTATGGCTCCATACTGAAGATCAAATAGCCAGCCAGCCAGAAAGAATTAGCAACAAGAAACTCTGGGAAGACGTATGTACTAGAAAATGGAGATGGACAGGGCATACGTTGGTGCTGTCGCGTGCCAGCCATGAGAGTGGGTCATCGGAGGGTGACATGGCGATCGTGCGCGGAGAAGAGAGATTATGGTCAATTGTGGAGCCAGTTGAAGAGGACGGCAGCAAACAGAACAAAGTGGAGATGTGTTGTTGAAGGCCTGGGTTCCAAGTGGATTATAGGGCTTCAACAACACATCTCCAAAGTTCCATTATGGGTAAATTTTATTTTGATAGAGTCTCACAGTGTTATACAGTAATATTTACTGATGACGTTTCGAGCACAATTTATTGCTCATAATCATCTCCAAAGTGGTACACAGGGCTTGAAGATTGATATATATATATATATATATATATATATATATATATATATAACAATGAACAAATGAAAATAGCATGTAGATAAATATAAACAAAAAGTTAATTTTTCAAGTTTTAGTCTGCAGGAATTTGTCATAGGGTTATAGTTAGTTTAATTGAAGAAAAAGGAGAGATATTGATTACAGACAGACAACTGGTTAAAAAAATAAGAGAAGGTTCAGATTTGTGTTACTCAGACGGCAATCATGAACACTGTCTACACTAGTCGGTTTCACTAAGATTACCAAATTAATTCATCAATATCATAACAAATATGTTGTACAATGAAATTAAGAACCAATTGATCAGCGGATTCAAGATGGCCTAAGATAGGTATAGATAATGTCTATATATACAGGATTGATGGTTCAGTTTGTAATGACTACACTCCTGAGATTAGACAGTTAGTATGCTGATGCAGTGAAGGATGAGTAACAAGAAACTCAGGCATCAAACCAATTTAGAACATATCACCCACCAAACATGCAGATGGAAGTGGAGAGTGACATCACATGCTAAGCCCTGGAGTGGAACCCGAATGGGAAGCGACATGTTAGGTGTGGGTCTGACAGTGACATAGAAGACATCACGAGAGGAAATGAAAGCTTATGTGTAATCGTGGAGCCAGCCAAAAAACATTATGGATAACAGAATGATATGGAGACATGCAACTGAAGCCACTCAGAACCCAAGGGGATATATAATAGGTTGGTATTCTCATGTCAATTTGAAATGACTACACTCCTGTGGCTAGACAGTTAACATGCTGGTATACTGAACAGTCAACGTATTCGATCGACTGAACCTAATCACCAGCTGGGTGAAGAGTTCAGTTAGTCGGCTGCCAAATCAGAAATTGCAAGTTTGTGTTACCTTTCCCAATTTAACAGCCACCACTTCATTAGTGGAGGCACCAATATTACAAGCATCTGAATATAATATTACCAGCACACATAAAGGGGATGATGACTTCAATAACTGACTGGTAAGCAAGCTAACTCACGTGATATTAGGATGTGAAGATTTCTTTTTATCCCTTCGATATATTCGTGCAAATGCGTCATGACGTGCTGTCTTCTTCCAAAGATAATAAAAATGTATCACTTCAGATACAGTTTTATGCCGTAGCTATTAATAATTATAATAAAATAAAACAATAATAATGCTGTATTTCAAACAATATGTTAACATATATTACAACTTCCAGCACAACCATCGCTGTAGCGCTACCTGGCGTCCTCCCTCTGTGAATCAAGCTTGGACTCAGATCGATCATATTGCTGTAAGTTTCTGGTGGCGAGGATGCATACAAGACTGTCGCTCCTTCTGGAGCACATGCTTGGACTCTAATTATGCGTTAGTGTGTGCCAAGTTCGTCTTGCGATTTGGTGGAGTTCATAAAAGACGTAGTCTAAACGTTTTTTTTTTATTTACAGCTTGATTCCACACCGTATTTTCAGTACAAGTATGGAATTTTCAGCATGGATATCGGTTGCCCAAATTCAGGCATACCATAGATATCGGGTGTGCGCTGGCAGGGGATCGAACCCCGGACCATGAGCATGGTCGGCGAGAGTCCTAACCACTGTGCCACCGACGCAAATTAGTAGCACCTGCTACTTCTTTGAAATATCAGAATGAGTTACAGTCAATGCTTGCCAGCAACCCCCCAAGTAGTATAGATGAACATTGGCTTCATCTGCAAGGTGCCATGCAAAGGGCGAGTGTAGCCGCTTGCGGCTTGAAAGAATGCTCCACCAAAAACCACTGGGTTTCTGCGAGTTCCTTGCAACTCCTGGATGAACGCCGGTCCATTCCGGCTGGCAGCGAATACAGCAATAAGCGAAAGGCGCTGACGCGCAAGATAAGACAGTGTTTACGTAAGGACCGCGAAGCCTGGTGGTCAGAACGTGCGTGTGAGATGTAGTCAGCTGCTGCATCTGGCAACAGTCGGAAGCTGTTCCAACTCATCCGAGCCACCGGCAGCGAGACGGTCTGTGAGGCAGATGGCATGCCAATTACCAGCTTGAAAAGACGCCTGGAACGCTGGGCAGAGCACTTCGTGAAACAGTTTAGCTGGCCATCAGCTTCAATGTCTGCTGACATTAGCCCCAGTGCCCCTTGGCCGATTAATACCGACACACCCACCGAAGCGGAGGTCCGTAAGGAACTCCAAGTGTTAAAACGCCATAAGGCGCCCGGCCCAGAAAATTTACCCCCAGCTCTTTTTAAAGATGGTGGCGAGACTCTCACAATGGCTCTAACTGGGTTGTTCAGGGAGGTATGGGAAACTGAGTGTACCATCAATGTGGAACGAAGCCATTATCGTCCCCATCTTTAAAAAGGGTCGACGTAATTCGTGTGACAATCATAGTATCAGTCTGCTACCAGTCGGGTCTAAAATATTGGCTGCTGTCTTCCTTCGCAGGTTGTGCAAAACACGTGTGGGATTGATTCGCGAAGAGCAGGCTGGGTTTCGTTCAGGTCGTGGATGCATTGATCAGTTGTTGGAACACCGCCACACGTATTGCAGGCCAACGATCGTTGTGTTTCTTAATATTAGGGCTGCCTTCGATTCGTTCGACAGAACTATGCTCTGGAACTGTCTGTCAGAGAGAGGTGTACCTGAGAAATTTGTGAGTGCTGGCAGAGGGGTGACGGATGAGATTTCCAACTCTATAATGAAGGCTAGGGTGGCATACATCAACTTGAGCCACCTCTGGCGCCGTCGCAACGTTAGCCTGGCTGTCAAAGGTTGGGTATGCAATGCCTCGATTAGGGCTATCTTGCTTTAGGCCTGTGAAACCTGGCCTCTCAGAGCTGAGGGTGTGCGGTGACTCTGCGTGTTCGATCATCGCTGTCTCCACAGGATTGCTTGTGTTTGATGGCATCATCGCGTGGGTAATTCTGAGGTTCGGCGGCATGAGTTTGAACACAGTGGAGATAACCACTCATTGAGTGTCGTCATCTGTAAACACCGGCTCCGGTGGCTTGGACATGTGCTGAGAATGTCATCTCAGAGGCTTCCATACAGGTCTCTGTTCAGGACGAAATGGAAAAGGCGGAGGGGTGGTCAGTGCATGACGTGGAGTCGTGGGATGAAGGATTTTTGTGCTAGATTAGCATCGGTTGGTGCGTCACGACTCCCTGGTTGGGGTCCGCGAGATAGCTCGAAACATTATCGCATATGGCCAAGAATGGTAATCAATGGCGAACGTGTTGCAATTTCCTTCTTACTTCCCCTCCTGATGATAGTTAACGAATACTGTTTGAACTTGTTAAACATGACTGTTTCCCTTCCAGATGAAGTTCGTTATCCGTTCTCTCCTAATATTTTTACTTTTTGTTGTTTTATTATTGTGTGGCGCATCTATATTGGTGCCATATTGTACCACGTATTTTCTGCGTTTAAATAAAAAAACAAGTATAAATCATCTGCAGTACATCATGTGACGTAGCGTTGAGATAAGAACCAATCCTGCAAGTTATTGCTTAATTTCATTACCCCTGTAGTTTAAATGATGCTGCCTGGACAAATGCATGAAGTGACCTCTGCCAGATCTCCCCCTTTGATGGTGATTGGTGCTAATTGTTGTTGTTACTGTTGGTTGGTTAGGCATCTTCATCACCTCCGTCTTCTCCATGTTCACCTGAAGTCCTGTCATCTCCGTGTGCTTCTTCTCCCAGCTTGTTGGTTTTCGCCCGTAAGTCTTCGAGTTTGTATGACACTAAACATAAATCATCCGTGAAATCCAGATCTTCGAGAGTCTTCTTGTCGGTCCAACGTATTCCTATCTCCACGCTCCCCATAGTCTGATCCATAAACCAGTCCATGACAATTAGGAATATAATCGATGATAATAGGCAGGCGGTCTTGCCTTACTCCTATCTTCACTTCAAAGCCGTCGCTGAGTTTTCCACTGTGCATAGCCTGACACGTGGTTGAATGAGGTTGATAAAGATTTAAGCGCCGCACGCCATAGTGTTGAAATAGTTCCCAAATTACTTCACGGCCAACACTGTCGGTGAAGTTGACGTAGAGATTTGACTGCCATTCTATGCCCTGTTCAATGTTGATGTGTAGAGCTACAATTTGATCAGCACATGATTTCCGTTTTCTGATGCCAGCTTGTTCGGGTTGGCGGAGTTCTGTATCCAGTGCATATTTTATTCTCTCCAGGATGACACGACTTAGTATTTTACTTGGCGTGGAGAAGAGCATTATTCCACGCCAGTTCTCGCACAGGCCAAAGTCGCCCTTCTTTGGTAGCTTGACGAGGTAGCCTTTCTTCCAATCGGTAGGTACCTTTCCTTCTTTCCAGACCTTTTGCAATAGTGGCTTGAGCGCATATGCCGCAGTCTCTGGGTCCGTTTTCAGTGCTTCTGGGGTAATTCCTTCTGGTCCTGCTGCCTTCCCGGACTTCAGTAGCTTGATCGCATTCAAGATTTCTGCTTTCATCGGACGATTGCTGTCCACTGATAGGCAGCTCTGTGCGTGCTTTTGCTTTGTTTCTGTAGGGGATGGTTTATTCAAGAATCCTTTGAAATGATCAGTCTATTGTTTTATCTGTTTCTCCTCCTTGGTAATTAGGTTCGCTCAACATCTTTTACAGGTTTCGACGGTGTTAATTTCTTCTCGGATAGAGTCCTGGTTACCTGGTATGATGTTCTAAGGTCTCTTTTATCCACGGCTTGTTCTGCTTCAGTTTCCAGTGTGTCTTCTGTCTCTCCGAGCACTCTTCTTCACTTCTTTATTCAGTGCAATGTATATTGAACTCAGCTTCTCCTTCTGTTGTCCATCTTTGCATTGAGTCATCTTCTCTTCCACCATCCTCCTCTCTTCTATTAGCTGTCAGGTATCCATAGGGAGCCATTCTTCTTGTCTTTTCTTTCTTCCTAGGACAGTTGTATACGTTTCCTTGAACATTACCTTCAGAGAGTTCCGATGTTCTTCCACGCAGGTTTCCTCAGTGATTTCACCTAATGTCTCCGGACTTTGTTCTTATGGCTGCAGTGAAGGTATCCTTTGTAGTTTCGTCTTTCAGTTTCTGAGTGTTGAACTTGAATTGAGGTCTGTCTCCCGTTGTTCTGAAGGATTTCAGCTTCACCTTGAAGGTTTATTGAACTAGATGATGATCTGGACCCACATCTACTCCCCTTCTTGACTTTGTATCCGGCAGGCTAGCTGCGTCTCCACTTCCTTGAGATTGAGATGAAATCTGCGAAGAGTTCTGCGTTGTTATTCATTTCGCCTCAGAGCCTCTCGACCCTCTATGAATTCTCTTCCTGCATTGTCTGCTTCCAGCTTGTCTTTTATATCTCATAATGATTTTAGTGTCACCATTTGCGGTTTTGTCCAATTCTCTTTGTAGTTGTCTATAGACATCTCCCCTTTCTTGTTCTTAGTTGTTTGTAGGCGCGTAGCATTGGACAGTTGTATCCTTCCTTCCTTTCGAATTGAATCTTGATGTCATTATGCTGCAGGAGGAGATGGGTTCTCACTGCATTAGGACTTTGGCTGCCACTGGTGACATCAGGATAGCCATTCCTTCAGTGTGTTCGTGGTTGTCGTCTGAGTGACGGGAGTAGATTATTGACTCTCGAGTTGACAACATTGTCAATCCACATCCATTCCATCTGGTTTCGCAGATACCCAGTACTTCTAAGCCATATCTTCGCATCTCTTTGGCTACCTGGGCAGCCGCCTTCCCAGTCTCGTACATTGTACGGACATTCCACGTACCCATTCTTACTCTTGCTTTAGTCGAGAGAAGACACATTGACTGACCGGCTTCCCGAAGGCTTTCACCAGCCCGCTGTGTCATTTCGCCTCTCCAATTCCAGCGAAGAATAAGATCACTATTTGAATTTTTTGTATTTTTAAAATTTTTTGTGTTCAATAAAGTCTCTGTATCAGTTTTTTTGGTCTTCCGAGGTAGGGTCGCAAGTCCCACACCCAACCCTCACTTTTCCTGGGCTTGGTACCGGCTAGAAAACTATCGAAGTAGAAACCTTTTGGGGTTAACTCCCACTAACGGGGTAATAATTAACCTATGGATATTGAAGTGGACATTATTGCAATTCGCAGGCGTGAGCGATTATCTAATTCCTATCCATAACATACACTGATTCACAAGGTGCAGTTTTCAACGTTAAATGCAAAATAAGCCATCTAGATCTGATCCCTATGAGGTTCATAGCTTACCGCACGTTGAACAGGTCGTGCACAAGGGACGTTGGATCATTTGACTTTTTATTAGATGCTACGTTACGAATTTTCCTATCTAAGCGTTTACTGTATTTAAGTTTTTTTTCCGAACAATACAGAGATTTTGAGAGAACCGTACTTGATGTGAATAAATTGTTGCTTTCGACAGTATTTGAACAACCCAATACTTAATCCTGTTCGATTTGTGATTTTTTGAAGTCATGAGGTCAGTCCTAAACCTCTTGAATAGAAATCAAGCATAGTTTTGCAGTATGCTACCTCCAAACCTCTTCTTTCCAAAAGCTGTCATCAAATATTTCACAGGTAACCAAGATCACATGAAACCAGCTATACCTCTTACCTGAAACTTCATCAGCAGGTTCCCAAAAGAATGGTGAGACTGAAATATTCAGTCAGTTTATTTAGGCAGAACTTGAAAAAATATTAACTTTGAACCAGATCAATGATAACATGTACAAAGTGTAAGCCCATCTAAAATTACTCGTCCCAGGTTTTTATTTGCATATATATAATAAAAGTTGAGCATACAAAACACACTGCTTACACGAGTGTCACGTATTTGCCTAAAATCTTTTCCATACAAAGCGAAACTTTTCTCAAATGCAGTACAATCAGCTTCTGACCAGGATTCTAAATAACCAGGTACTTCTGTAAACGAAATAGGGAGTATACAGTCAAAAAGTGTAGAATATCATAAGACAAAGAGAGAAATGGGATATTAAATTAGGATGAAAAAGATTAGTGTTCGTATACATTTAGAGAATTGAAATGAATTCTGAGAGATAGGTTGTACTCATAGCGCGTATTGGTAGGTTCAGTTTGTTATGTTGAAGTCATTATGAAGAGTACGGAAAGAAGTCCTGTCATGATTTGATATACAAATGTCAGTAGGGATCAACACAGTTGTCAAGACAACTAATCTGCAAAGCGTTTCAATCTTCCAATCTAAAGATACTCCATGAAAAAGCGATAGCAAGTCTCATTATTTCTTATTCTAATTTCTTCTGAGTGGAACACAGGGCTTCAAGCTTGAATTTTGTAGTTTCATTAATGGTTTATGAAGTGGAATTACTAGCTTCACACTCAACCTTCACTCTTTTCTGTGATTTTGCCAACTAGAGGAAGTTAAGGAATGGGTCGGCGGAGAATCGAATCCAGGTCAAGTGCGTGGTTAGCGAGCATTTCGCTACTGAGCCACCAACGCACATATTACACATGGCTCAAACAAAACTACGATCTGCCGAATCCACGAAAGTAAGGAAATATGACAGTCCGTAATTCAAATTAATACGATTACGTAGAGCAGACTAGCGATACATACTCAAATCGATTAAAAATTTAGATGTTTTTCAAATCTCTTGGTGATCGATGATCCTACACAGTCTATTTTCAAGAAGACAGTCATTGATTTAGAATACAATTTACGTCACCGTTGAATATTCATGCAGTCAAGAAGAGGTAGTACTGTTCAGTCATATATGTCACATAGTTTACTTCGCATACGCATAACAGGAGATCTGTGAGAAATACATTACCATATCCCAACAGTTTACTGACCTGTATGTTTATCTTGTAAAACTTACCATTTCTCTACCTCTAACTGGCAGTAAAGAAGACAGGTGCTGAAATGTATCAACAGCTCTGAAGCTCACCTCTTTTCAGAGATTATCTCTAAATGAACACTGGTAAACGACAACGCATCATGTATTTGAGAACGGTGAACTTCTCACATGATATTGCTTAGAAAAACTACAACACTTATGTACATCTCGTCATTAGACATATTAATTAATTTTTAATATAACCAACTGGAAGAAAATATCTTAAAAGCCTCTTATAATTGGTAGACAGGACTTTGCCGAAATTCACTTTTGGTTGAAATCGAAACGCAATCGTCAAGTAAACTGAGTGGAAGAGCCACATACTAATTGCGTGATTCCTGATAATACTATCATCCAGTTACCCAGTATGAAGTAAGTGAAGCCAGATTAAAAATCAGAAACTATTAGCTGAAGGCTGAGTACTACAGTAAATGAATTATAGTTCCGCTAACAATGATGTCAGCTGTATGATTCGAACCCATATTCACTGAGAAGCGTTGTCATTTTGATTTTAGGTTAATTTTGCACTTCCCCTTGATTGATTAAATTAGACCGAAATGCTCCCTCTTTGTTGACATGTCGGCTCCTAGTACAGATGTTTTTAGACGATATTTGAGAATTAACCTGGTGTTATTTTGGTTGATGATGACTAGTGGTGGAATCCAGGATGAGCACTTCGTCCTATTTGGCTTTTATTGTCCTAAACCTTCGCCATTTGTCACAATGGTTTCGGGGCCCACTGGGAATGCAGGTATGCCCAGTCAACGAGTTCCAAATAGGACAAAATGAGCACCCTGTATTCCACCGCTAATCAGCATCAACTAAAATGAGACAGATTTCATTCATAGGATTTCCTTAAAATATTTTATGAAAACAAACTAAATCATGAGTATATAAATAAATCAATGAAAGACAAAAATAACTTTCCAAGAAATTATGAGAGAAAATACAGTATAATTTCTTAGTCATATAAACCGGTTAATATACACATCCTACATGGTATTTATGCAAAAGGCATTTTTATTCAAGTCATTTATCACAGTTTTATCTTTCATAACCACACCCAATAATAATGATAATAATAATAATGGATAGTGAATGAATTGGAAAAATTAATTCAATTCGATCCCTCCAAATACGCTAGGTATACATACATAAAGGGAGATTGTTTTATTCACATGTGCATGCATGTATACGAGTATGGAAAGATGGAATTAATAATTGATAGAAACTGTATAATCACGCCCTGTAAAGGTAAAAGACTGAATGAATAGGCAGTTTTTAACTACCTCCCACTTATAATTAGATCGATTAATTACCTTTCAGAATGTTACTGACTGACTGACTGATTTCAACACAGAACTTTGCAGAGATGTATAGCAGTTCGAGTTGCCACGCTCTTTGTACCACACAAAGGAAGACAAGAAAGAGAAAAAAGATATTCAAAAGAATGATAATAAACAGAAATGTGAGGGAGAATGAGTACTAACATGGAAATACCATAGGGTTTAATGGATATGCTAGATCACAAAGAGGGCATCTCCACCACTGAGAATGATTTCGAGCCATATCATCAATAGTTTCCAGCTATTGATTCTTAACATCCCGACGACCTTAATCAGGAAGTTTGTATCTCCTTGCGTGGTTCACACTAACTGTCAAATAATTCATGGACTGATTCCAAGTTTCGGTTTGATCACCACTAACTCCTTTCCAATCTGATTCTATGTCATTTAACATTAGCCGTCGAAGGAAGTGATAGCTAGGCATAAGTATTAGATGTCATAACCATCTCAATCGATGTTATTTCACGTCATCTGTTGACTTTTCCTCCCTACTTTAAACTTGACTCAAAATATTACCAATCGAAATTGAAAGATGAGTGAATACATCTTGAACAATAAGATTGCACAACTTTACAAAAGAGAGATTATTTATCAACTTCTGAATAAGCATATTTTAATGAGTCTAGTCTCCTAGGTTTAGAAAAAAGTCTACTACATATCATTGGCTTGAGAGCCCAGTTAACAATCAATGGGTCATGTGTTTGAATAGCGTTCCACCTACTTCTACTTGGGTTGATACATGAAAAATATGCTCAGGGTAATTCCATTTTAACAAAGAGATGAAATAAATGATTGTTTTACATCCTATTAAACTACTTTTTGTGAAACGAAAAACGGATAGCTTCCAGTACCCTCGTCCGATACGCATACTTTAAGGGGAAACAACTGGATCTAAAGTGTGAACTAAAATCGCACACAACTCAAATGAACTGAATGGTTTCATAATAGAACTTTGCACCGATGTGCAGCAGTTTGATTCGCCACACCCCATGTAGCACACAAAACAGGAGAAAGTAAAAAGAAATGCAAAAAAGAGAGAGTATACAGAAACAGTAAACATAACTCAACTGCCATGTAAAGAGGCATAGTTGCTTTATTTAATACAACTGTTTCGCATAGCAGTTTTCCTCAAGCTTGAAAACATATCTATAATTTTTTTTAAATCCATGAACGAGTCACTTATCCAAGCAACTAGACATAAATAAGCCAGCATCTTATTCGGCAGCACTGATCAAGATTTGTCAGCCATCACAATGTCACCGCTAGCCACACACGCCTGGCCAACGCGCTGCGAAATCCCGCCTAGCTTACTAGCCAGTAGTAAGTCTTGAGAAGAATGGGAGTTTTGGTGTGAGGTTAGCAAGCCCACCCTGTGAAAACATACAACACCATCATGCCACTGGAACTGCAAAGCTTGAGATCCAATATCTCAATAGGAACACAAGAAATGAATGGAAAACATTGTAACCTGAGATAGAAAAGACATGATTAGTTTAAAGTGCTTAAAATGCACAGAATTGTGGTCTTGGAACCTGTCATAATGCACTTTTTTCTGATCCACCCTAAATCGACAAAACTTCATCACAATAAATTATTTATCATGATAAACAAAATATTTTTATCAACAGTTAACGTAAAGGAAACAAGTCATGGAGAAACGAAATAAAATCACACACACCTGTAGGTTGTACAGCTTTTAGTTGTTGACGTTGAAGCGCTTCTTCCACATCATAATCACAGAGCATTAACAAGAATAAAGCCTAGAATATTATAAAATAATAACAACAATAATACTGATGACCGAAGACTGAAAACAAAAGGTAATGAGGAGATGAGATCATATTTCTCCCTTCTCCAACAATATTTATTCTCAGTGGGTGCTAACTAGAAGTGGAATGCACGATGTGCATTTCGTTCTTTTTGTGACTTGTCGACTAGTGAATGTACCTACACACATTCCAATGAATGATCATGTTCCCACTGTCACTCGAACCCGACACTCATCGTTTCAAACGCCAAAGTGTTCATTCATTAAGTCAGTTAGTTCACGAACACTTTTACTCCCTGGGGATTGCAGGTACTTCCAATTGATCCGTGCAATATAGGACGAAATGTAAATTCTAGATTTCACTGCAATTCGCTATCCACCAAGCATTATCATATTAATCCTCAGATATCGTCAAAGCCGACATATGAAGAGATTGGAAACTTCGGTCTAATACACAAACACATAATTACCAAGTGTTGGTTTGCACGAATTTGATTGTTTACAGGTTTGATTACGAGTCGACTTCAGTTAGAGAATCAATGAGAAAACTGCAAATTCGCAAGTAATGGGGTCTACTAAGTCAGGTAAGATATCAGTTTCCCGCCTATGGCATTGTTTGGCGGTTGCGCTAAATATGTATACAAATCCGACATCCAACAAAATAACTCGATGATTATAGGTGATTAGGAAGACATGATGTTTGTAGTTGAAGAGTAAAATCTCAATTAAACCATGATAAAGAAAATGGCTTTCAATTGGAATAAAAAAAACACTAATCTGAAGTGTGTAAAATGAAAGTATAGACTGTCTAAGGTCACTATTTCTAAAGTGTTGAGATACAATGTTTGAAGACTTGACGATATAGTCCAAAGATACATTTCATAATGAAGAAGATACATTTATTTTTAATCCGTTTTCGATGTGCTGCTCCAAATAGTAGCAGAAATTAAACACTAGCAGTACTGTGTCAAGTTTGCACATGAATCTACCTTTTTGTCAGAGAAGTGTACTGATTCGTCACACCACTATTCATATGTAGTTCACCTTTAAGATTTTTTCGCAGTAACTATATAACATTTTACATTAATCTAGCCTTATTTCCTATTCATTTCATCTTAGGATCAAACAAACACAGACAAAGGGAAACATGAGTTACTTCTTTGGTTAAATATGAATTTTTGCACTAATAAAAAACTCTACACAAGGAGAAATAACCTCCAGGTAACTTTCACTACTGAAGGAACAGTATTAAGGGTCTTGAAAGAATTACAAACGCAAATGCCATATATAACTTTATTAGCTCTAAAATATTCACAACGGAGCCAGTTTGTGGGTTGGGGATCTGCACATTGACATTATGGGACGGAGGGAATGTTAGGTTTATGTTTTTGGCAGGCCACACATGTGTGGTAATTGGGATCTAATGGGCTAAGTTGAATTTCTCTCTATTAATTGCAAACATGTTTAAGAATTCTACTAGATTATTTTTCACCTTATTTTGTACTCTTCACATCGTATGAAGTGGAGTCTCTGGTAAATTTGTCATTGCTTCAAAGAATACATAACATTTTACTTTTGTATTCAATTTTTTAATTTATAACTACACCAGAACCTTTATCTGGTCTGAGGATAACGATGTCAGTGTTATGTTTTAGTTCATTTTGGAGCTCTAAGGTGCTCAGATGTTAGGATACTTTTCTGAATTGTACGACCACTGCAGAACTGTTGAGCAATGTCAGCTAACTTTGCTTTGAAGCAACCATGATGATCATCAGAAATGTTATCAACCTATTTTCCAAGTAAGTCAGTGTATCTATATGATTCAGAAACTTGGCGTGCGTCTCAAAAAGCATTTTGAACAGGTCACTCTAGACATATATCAACAGCTGCCTCCACTCCTCACTGAAGATCAGATGGACAGGCAGAAAGGATTAGCAACAAGGCACTCTGGCAACAAACTAAACAAGAACATTTTACAAAAAAACATGCAGAACGGAATTAAGATGGATCAGTTGGATGAATGCAGAGTAGACAGCTGCGTGACACCACACGCAAGGCTTCCGAGTGGAGAAGAAATGAGAAACGACGAGTTGGGACTGAAAATAAGGATGACATGGAGATGAGAGCTTATAGGCGAGAGCTAAAGAGGTCTGAAAAAAACAGGGTGGAATGGAGATGTACTACAAAAAACTAGTGTTCCACTAATGAGCCAAAAAGAGATAATAACAATATATTTCGCTTTTGCTCTAGATACTACTAGCCTAGTGATAAGTAGTACTATAAAAAATGGCAAAACAAAATTCAGTTACCTACCTCCTCATCATCTATCGTTCGGTCACTAGGCAATGATGACATAGCTATTTGTGCGTATAATCTTTCATAACGGATTACATCTGCTTCAGAGAGTTTATCAACAGGTCGCCACACAAGACTTGACTGTTGAAAAACTCTTTCAGCTCTTGCATTAGCGGCACAACCGCTAAAATCACTGCCAGAGATACTACTCACACATATACTCCGGTTATCCAAACTCGATGGCGCCGGTGCCGATAATAAAAGCACGGGAACATTAGCTTGATAGTCATCACCAATTTTGATTTCCTGTTAGAATTCCAGAAGTAGCAATTAAAACATGACAACAATAAGGAAATGATTTCACGTCAGTGTCGAACAATATTTGAAACAAGGAGACGATAAAAAACAAAGTACTAACAATTAGACTCAAAGAACATGTGAAGAATCCTAATTTAGTAATACTAGATAAGCATAACGACAACATACGCATACAATACCTTCTTTCCCACAAAAAAGTATTAAGGATTCCCCTAAAAATCCTACAACCTCGTCCACTTTACAGGCTCAGCAGGTTTCTAGCCGGTACCAAGCCCAGGAAAAGTGAGGGTTGGGTGTGGGACTTGCAATCCTACCTCGGAAGACCAAAATAAACTGATACAGAGACTTTATTGAACACAAAAAATTTTAAAAATACAAAAAATTCAAATAGTGATCTTATTCTTCGCTGGAATTGGAGAGGCGAAATGACACAGCGGGCTGGTGAAAGCCTTCGGGAAGCCGGTCAGTCAATGTGTCTTCTCTCGACTAAAGCAAGAGTAAGAATGGGTACTTGGAATGTCCGTACAATGTACGAGACTGGGAAGGCGGCTGCCCAGGTAGCCAAAGAGATGCGAAGATATGGCTTAGAAGTACTGGGTATCTGCGAAACCAGATGGAATGGATGTGGATTGACAATGTTGTCAACTCGAGAGTCAATAATCTACTCCCGTCACTCAGACGACAACCACGAACACACTGAAGGAATGGCTATCCTGATGTCACCAGTGGCAGCCAAAGTCCTAATGCAGTGAGAACCCATCTCCTCTTGCAGCATAATGACACTGGAAACTGAAGCAGAACAAGCCGTGGATAAAAGAGACCTTAGAACATCATACCAGGTAACCAGGACTCTATCCGAGAAGAAATTAACACCGTCGAAACCTGTAAAAGATGTTGAGCGAACCTAATTACCAAGGAGGAGAAACAGATAAAACAATAGACTGATCATTTCAAAGGATTCTTGAATAAACCATCCCCTACAGAAACAAAGCAAAAGCACGCACAGAGCTGCCTATCAGTGGACAGCAATCGTCCGATGAAAGCAGAAATCTTGAATGCGATCAAGCTACTGAAGTCCGGGAAGGCAGCAGGACCAGAAGGAATTACCCCAGAAGCACTGAAAACGGACCCAGAGACTGCGGCATATGCGCTCAAGCCACTATTGCAAAAGGTCTGGAAAGAAGGAAAGGTACCTACCGATTGGAAGAAAGGCTACCTCGTCAAGCTACCAAAGAAGGGCGACTTTGGCCTGTGCGAGAACTGGCGTGGAATAATGCTCTTCTCCACGCCAAGTAAAATGCTAAGTCGTGTCATCCTGGAGAGAATAAAATATGCACTGGATACAGAACTCCGCCAACCCGAACAAGCTGGCATCAGAAAACGGAAATCATGTGCTGATCAAATTGTAGCTCTACACATCAACATTGAACAGGGCATAGAATGGCAGTCAAATCTCTACGTCAACTTCACCGACAGTGTTGGCCGTGAAGTAATTTGGGAACTATTTCAACACTATGGCGTGCGGCGCTTAAATCTTTATCAACCTCATTCAACCACGTGTCAGGCTATGCACAGTGGAAAACTCAGCGACGGCTTTGAAGTGAAGATAGGAGTAAGGCAAGACCGCCTGCCTATTATCATCGATTATATTCCTAATTGTCATGGACTGGTTTATGGATCAGACTATGGGGAGCGTGGAGATAGGAATACGTTGGACCGACAAGAAGACTCTCGAAGATCTGGATTTCACGGATGATTTATGTTTAGTGTCATACAAACTCGAAGACTTACGGGCGAAAACCAACAAGCTGGAAGAAGAAGCACACGGAGATGACAGGACTTCAGGTGAACATGGAGAAGACGGAGGTGATGAAGATGCCTAACCAACCAACAGTAACAACAACAATTAGCACCAATCACCATCAAAGGGAGAGATCTGGCAGAGGTCACTTCATGCATTTGTCCAGGCAGCATCATTTAAACTACAGGGGGAACGGATGAGGATGTCAAAAGCAGAGTGGGGAAGGCAAGGTAGACCTTCATCACCCTGAATTCAGTTTGGAAATCTTCTGGAATCAGAAAAAACAACCAGATTTGGATTCTCAACATCAACATTAAGTTAGTCATTTCTCCTATGAGGATGAGGTGGTTGTATTGTTTGTCACTCTAAGGACTTGCAATAAGTTACAGACTTTTATCAACAGCTGCCTTCTATGGCTCCATACTGAAGATCAAATAGCCAGCCAGCCAGAAAGAATTAGCAACAAGAAACTCTGGGAAGACGTATATACTAGAAAATGGAGATGGACAGGGCATACGTTGGTGCTGTCGCGTGCCAGCCATGAGAGTGGGTCATCGGAGGGTGACATGGCGATCGTGCGCGGAGAAGAGAGATTATGGTCAATTGTGGAGCCAGTTGAAGAGGACGGCAGAAAACAGAACAAAGTGGAGATGTGTTGTTGTTCCAATAGGAACCCAAGGGAAAAATAATGTCATGCTACTTCAAAGGCTGTAGTAGTGTCAACATGTTTTGCAATCGTCGTACGATGAATCGGTAACGCTGAATGCAGTTGAAGCACGTGAAGACAGCCTTCATACTAATTATACGTACAGAGCTATCAGACATTTATCAACTAGTTGTTTCAAAGAGCAGGAGTGTCACTAGTTTTTTGCGTTCTCTAAATTAGTTGATTCAATCGCGTGGCTTTCATTTTTATTCTTGAAAACCAGTTCGGAGAAATTTCCAATATGAAATGAATTTATTTGGATTTCTGTTTAACAAATGATATAATTGTATCTACTGATACACGTGGGTTCGATTGGTTGTTAATTTGCATCAGCCCTGATCGTTTTTTATTGTTTTCGAATTTAACTTTTGTTGTACATATGGCTTATTATTTGTTAGTGGAGAAATTTCACCTATAATAATATGTATGTCAGTCGCTGATTCATCTTATTGCTAGGTTTCCAGGAATTCCCTGCCATTTTTGGTGGTTCCACTATTAAAAATTTCTACATTTCACAAATCGAATTGACGTTCACAGTTGACATGAATGAATACATGTAAGTGGTGACTTTCGACAGACAGTTTACGTTCTTGGATCAGGATTCGAAGACGTCCACTTTGACCAATATAGTACTTATCTCAGGTCGCACACGTTATTTTGTAGATGGTGTTGATTTCGTCTTCTTTCGGTGTTGGATGTTCTGATCAGCATTATATTGATTGAAGTGACTGTGTTGGGTTTTGTGCAATATACATCTATTCCGAAAGGTTTTATTATTTTAGCCTTTATTTCAGAAACATACTTTATAAATGGTAGGAAAAATTTTCTTGTAGTTTCTGATGATGCTTTTCTGTTAGAAGTTTAATTCGAGTCTAAACACTTTATTTTACTGATGCTTATGCAACTGCAATACAAAATTAACTAGAGCATAATGCTTCATGTATTTCACTTGATACGGAAAAAAGGAAAACCTCAATTCAAAATAGTGATATAAGTAGACACTTTTCGGCCTGTAAGGCAAAACTTTGTACAGACTACTTCGACGCGAAAAAAATTCACTTATAAGTTAAATGTATTTAGCACCACTTATAGTTCTGTTCATAAATTTATGAGCTGATCACAGCAGCTTAGTTGATAACTGTTGTAAATGGAAAGAAGATTTGATATGATTATGAGCAGCAATAATTTGTGCTCGAAACGTTGTCATCAGTAAATATTATGTATAGCACTGTGATTTTATCAAAATAAAATTCTATCGTTGATGGAATTATACTCTAACACAGTGCCCAAGTTTCACCTCCTACAACTTAAGGTTAATGATACATATTAATTTCTCATAAAACTAACTGCAAAATGGGTGATAAAATCTGTTCACAAAAAAGAAAACAAAAATATAACCTATGGTACAGAATATATGTGTGGGTGTTAATTAATCCACAAATTTCCTATTGACAAATTTATTACTTCAAAGTATTTAAAGCTATATACCGAAAAATTCGTGGATGTTAAAGCATACCCTGAGATTCACCCGTTTCAATGAATGAATACGTCTTACTAGTTTGTAACAGTTTGATAGTCATATCTAGGCAGCATCAGGCTTTAGTTTATCTCATATCCTGCAATGATTGTCAGGTCAAATACATAGGTCAAACTAGTAGAACAGGGGCAGTCAGACTACTCGAATATAAAAACCTAGCAAAATCTAGATTGGTTGACCCGAATAAGATGAAAAATCTAGAGAATATTTCAGCTGTAGCACTACATGCAGTTACACACAACCATGCAATAGAATGGGATAGGATGACAGTTTTAAAATCTAATGTCACAGGGTATAGGGAGAGATTGATAACAGAAGCTTTGTTTATCGAATCAACTACAAATACATTTAATAGGAATGATTCATCACCTGTCCCCGATATCTGGAAAATTCTACTACCCATACGACAAATAGGAGAGAACAAAGAATCCAGTAAATAATACTGTTTCACTGTAGGATACATCTAATAAACAAACTAATATGGAATTACTTAATACCACAGTGCCCAAGTTTTACACATATATTAATCAGGCTTTAGAGTTGTTAAATTGTAGGATAGTAAGTGACAGTTTTATTTGGTGGATTCAATCTTGTATAAGGTACAAAAGGTCTCACTGAATCATCGATAGGAATAATAATAATCAGCATTATTCCAAAATGAAAGAAGTAGAAAAAGTATTCAGCGTTAAAAAGGTTAACTATTTATAGTATAATTAGACTAAATGACGTGGGGATGGAGAAAGTTAAAATTTTCCATAGTAGCAAGTATTGTATACAAAATCAGCGAATAAAACAATCTCGTGTTATGATGTTCGTTCTTTCTTTGTTCAAATTTATTAGAGGATCTGGTTGTATGAAATATAAAATTGCATCATCATGGTTTCATGTTCGTATACGTGTGGCCTATTACATCAGAAATGCATCATTTTTACTCACATGTCCTAGTGTCGCTGATTCAAACTAGATTATTTGGGGTATGGAGTGCGTGAATTATAACACCACTCAACTTTTATCTGGAGGAAGTCACAAAATATAATTATTTTTTCTAAACCGAGATCATACAGATGTCTAGTGCGTTAACAGGTTAAAAATTGATTTTTCTGAAATTACTCAACAACAAATAGAAGTAGACTCAAAGTAATCAAAAGGCTTCAACATGATGTCATAGACTATTTCGTCTAATTTGTGTATGTGAGTAGTCCAAATGAATGGTATGCGACAGCAAGCACTCACAGTTGAATGAATTTGAGTGAAATTACTATGAACTAATCAGTCAATCAGTCAATGTGGCACACAGATGTAGGCAAAATTCATCTTTGCTTTGTTTTAGAAATGCAGCAGTTTATAACTTTTAACGTCATCAACAAACTAATCAGTTTATTTGTTTCTCTATGAGTAGGTCTATTCCAAACAATATCACCGTCACTTAACAAACCCGCTCCCCTTTTTTCTACTTTTAGAATGATTACGATTGATAGAAGACCTCTCTGGGTAACCAGTGAGATGATGAACGGACAGTAATGCACTACTCATTCATTCATGGGGTGTTGCAGCTCAGCTGATAATTGACTAAATTTCAGTATGGAACTCTGCACAGATGGACAGTAATTCGAGTTTTCATACTTCATTTAGCACACAGAGGTGGAGAAAAAAGCAAAGAAATTCAAAAACCAGTGCACGAGAGATTACAATGAGTGAATGCATCTGCATCATTGAAAACGATTTTGAACCATATCACGAATAGTCTCCAGCCATTGGTTCTTAACATCTTGGGGACCCCAACTACATAGTGTACACTTCCCTATGTGGCTGAAAACAAATGGTCAAAGATCTCATGACTGATATCAGCTAACAGTGATAGACAAGAAAGATAGAACACAGCTAGTTGTGCTTCTAACTAGTAATTAGGCGATTGCTGGTTAGAATTCTGTCGGAATTCAGATTTTCATCTTAACTGTCATTCATGCAAGTACAGTACAGAGATAACTAGAACATAATCCTTGATTAAATGAAGTAGACAGATGTATTACACCGTGCGAACAAAATCATCTACAACATAATAGTCATCCAAATAAACTAAACAGACAATCAGAGAAAACAATGATGGAATCGCAATTGATAAGTGATAAGTAATAAAAGTTTGTGGTTGTGTTTTTGTCATTCCATGTATACACACTTCTCACCATTCTAGTCTGGTGCAAATACCTGCACATATTGTGATATCTATGCATCAGTGTTAGTGTCTTCCATGAGCAGCGTATATACGGTCTTTTCTCACATTATTCAAAATACATTGTAACTGATTAAAGATGCCCATTAAAATTTTCATAAGAATCGTTACTGAACAAAGAATACTCTTTTCGATAACTTCACCATCAGGTCAAAGAAGCAAGTCCAACCACTACTACTCCCCTGGCCTTCAGTAGAGACTAGAAATTCATAAATTTGTATTATTATCTTTCCTAATATTTTCTGACATTCAGTTTATTGTTATGCTGATGCTACTGAACTGTAATCTACTGTTATTACTGATTCGATGTTATTTAAAAAACCATTAATGTTGTTAACACTAATTTATTGACTATTATGTATGTATAACTGTAGAACCTGATGATGAAGTTATCGAAAAGAGTATTCTTTGTTCAGTAACCATTGTTTTCAAAATACATTGTTTAAAAAGATGCGGAAAATTATGACAATATTGTGTGACCAATATATCAACGTGAAACTTTGCATACATATGCATCAATTCAACTTGTCGCACTTTGGAAAAGCACATAAAGAAGTCTAGAATGCAAACATGCAATGATATAATAATGACTGAAGGTGTTGTATGAAGACTAGTCAAAGTCTTCTCAGCATTGTGAATAATTTGGAGTCATCTCTAGAAGAGCCATTCAATCAATTATATATTCATCGTATACTAGCCTGCTTGTGTGAATTACATCAGCACTCAGTGTGATTTAATCGATTGATGACATTTTTCGGTTTAACTACTTTCCGTTTTTCTCAACAACTAAGTCCCAGAACCTGGTAAAGCAGGCAGGGAAATAGACATGAGTGACAAAAAATACTCACAGTAAAAAGACTTGTAGGATGGCCAATCTGTAGAACTCCATGTCTGGATTGTGCTCTGCTCAAGAGGTGTTTCCATACACACCCCAATGGTTGGATATAATCAATTGACAAGAATCGACACTATGACAAAATATTCCAAGTACTTACAGACATGACAATTATACCTTATAATTCGTGAAATTGTTGTGTAGAATAAAAATATCCTTTAGCAAACTTACACCCTTCCAATCTTGACCACTGTCTTCACTTGGACAGTAGTCTTCATCTTCATCTGAATTATACGACAATGGTGTTGCTTGACCTTTCGGAGGGTTGCAAGAAAATCAAAAAACATTAATTTAAAGGGAATGATTAAGTACTATTTATTAATAAAGAGAACATATTAAAACAGGGTTTCATGCTTCCTAATGCTATATGACATCCAATGATAGCATGCAGGCTGCCCAAATCACATTTAATCAATTGGTAACCAGTGTCTGTAATCATGGTATGTGCTTTATGCCATCTAAGTACTGTTACAAGATCGGTCGGAGCGTGTAACTGCACTCACTCCTGCAGGTGTAGCGCCTAATACTGTCAAAGAGTTCGTGTGCCTGAGGAGTAGTCGTCTGGAAATACCGGCTTCCGTGTCTGGACATGGGCTAAGAATGTCATCCCAGGGGCTTCCGTCATGTTCTCTGTCCGTCAGCCCTGGGACTGGATGGAAAAAGGGTAGGTGGTCAGGCAGGATATTTGTGACGTTAGGACAGCATAAGTTGGTAAATTGCGACTCCCTGGTTGGGGTCCGTCAGACGGGTTGCAATGGTGGCTCGAAACGCTATCGGATATAGCCAGAATTCGCAATCAATGACAAAAAGGCTACAATTTCCTTTTTTCTCCCTTTTCTGAAAGCAACATGAAATAATAATTGTTGAATGATCTCAAAGTCAATGGCACATCGGTTAGGACTCTCGCCGACCATGCACATAGTCCGGGGTTCGATCCCCTGCCAACGCACACCCGATATCAATGGTCAGCCTGCAAAATTTGGGCTACCGATGTCACATGCTGAAAATTCCATACTTGTACCAAAAATACGGTGTGAAGTCAAGCTATATAAAAAATAATAATAATTCATCCTCGACCTATTTTTTACATGTTGTTGTGTGTCGCGCATCTCTTGCTGCCCATGATGTGCCAAGTATGCTTTAAATAAGTGATAATGATGAAAGAACCATACTAAAGACAGAATTCATAAATGCAGAAGAGTAATTACTATTATTGTTTCCTTTAGTTCCTAGAGGAACATAGGTCTTCAGCCGCACGTCTCCATTGCGTTCGGTTCTCTGCCAACGTTTCCACCTAGCTCCACGTCAACCCACATGCTTTCACCTCCTCTTCACATGGTCTCCATACCACCCTCGGACGACCAACTCGCCGCTTTCCATTCGGACTCCAATTGAGAGCCTGTCATGTGATGTCACTTGATGGTTTTCTCAGAGTATGGCCAATCCATATCCATTTATTCCTGCCTATTTGTTTCACAATCGGTTCCTGGTTGGTTCGCTCCCAGAGGTCCATGCTGCTGGTCTCTCCTGACCACCTGATCTTGAGTATTGAGTGAAGACAGGTGTTGATGAAGGTCTGTAGTTTTTTTGAGGTGCTCTTCATGACGCCCCAAGTCTCTGATCAGTATAGTAGCGCTGATTTCACATTGGAGTTGAAAATTCGAACCTTATTTTTCATGCTGAGTGCTGTTGACCTCCACACAGACTTGAGAGTAATGAAAGCTTGTCTTGCTTTCCCGATCCTTGCTTTGATATCCTCGTCAGTTCCGCCTGTAGTTGAAACGATGCTTCCTAGGTAGGTAAAGGAGGTTGCTTCTTTCAGATTTCTCCCATTTATGCTGATTGTTGTCTGTTGTTGTTGTTGCTGCTGTTGGTGGTGTTGCCCAGAAATCTTCATCACCTCTGTTTTCTCTATGTTCACCTGAAGGCCTATCTTCTCTAGATGCTTCTTCTGCCAACTTGTTGCTTTTCACTTGCATATCTTCCAGTTTGTGGGAAATCAGCCAAATATCATCGGCGAAGTCCAGATCCTCCAAGTTTTTTGTGTGGGTCCATTTTATGTCTGTTTCCTCGCTGCCTGCTGTTTGTCGCATTATCCAGTCTACTGCAATCAAGAAAATCATTGGCGATAGTAGGCAGCCTTATCTTACTCCTGTCCTCACTTCGAAGGATTCCGTGAGTTTCCCATTGTGGATTACTTGGCATGCAGCATTATCGTACAACTGTTGGATGAGATGTATAATTGTCGGCGGCACCCCGTAGTAGCGAAGTAGTTTCCAAATCACCTCTCGATCGACGCTGTCAAAGGCCTACTCAAAGTCGATGGAGTTGAGGTAGAGAGCTGACTGCCACTCCAAACTCTGTTCAATGATGATATGTAGTGTTGTGATTTGATCGATGCATGACTTGTTCCTCCTGAGTTCAGCCTGTTCCGGTCGAAGTTTTTCATGCAGGGCTTGTTTGATTCTCTCCAGGATGATGCGGCTTAGTATTTTGCTTGGGATGGACAGGATTATAATGCGGCTCCAGTTCTTGCATTGACTGAAGTTTCCTTTCTTTGGCAGTTTGAATAAGTAGTCTTTCTTCCAGTTCGCAGGTACCTTGCCCTCTTTCCACACCTCCAGCAGTGGTGTCATCAGGCCCACTGATGTCTCTGGGTCCATTTTCAATGCTTTTGCTGGGATCACAGAAGAGTAAGCTTTCACTTTTTGAAAAAACCCATTTCTGATACATCATTTAGGTGGTCACAACAATTTACCAGCAATAATCTGTTAACACCAAGATGTTATAAGGTGGACTTATTCATTTATGTGAAAATGAATAGATAATAAATAGACGGAAAACAGTTAAAAGAGTACACACAACTAGACATTTGGGCCAACGTGTCACTGAACATCCTCTCCCATCGTGGTTTGGTGAAGGACAGATAGAAACCACCTTAAGCACTGCTTTTCGGCCGCATTTGTTGATAGTGATCATTCAGTAGGGAGAAAAGGGAACCTTTTAAGGTGATTCATCGCATCGAGTCTTCCTATGGACCTGATTCTGTCGAACTGTCAAAGACGAAGAAAGTGAGTAATTAATAAACCTAGACATCCAGCTTACAGTCTGGGTGGATCCCAGAACCTTCTGTTGTATTTGAAAGAGGAAGTGATAAAGTCACATAGGACAGCATTGTTTTGAGCCTTACATCTACCTAGCCATTTATGTGTCAGTAACAACTTGAAGAACGGTATTAGAAATTTAGCGAGTTTATTCTTTTTTGATGAATAGGATATTCCCATATTGAGTCTAAAGAAAAAGAAGAGGTAAGCATTAAGAATTTTCTTTCCGATGAATCATTTCCAAGTGCTGTGCAATCGTATTTATATTCAACAAAGAACTCATAGAACCAATCAGATACTGATAACTTTGTTCTGGAAAATGTGTTACATACTGTGAGGTGTAATCTAGAAGACGGTGACTAAGTGGAGATTAGAAAAAGGGGCAGAGGTTGAAATGACGTAATTAGTGTGAAAAATGACTCATTAATATAAATGTACAAAGAAGACAAGAACTAATGGAAAGATGGTAAAGTGTTTGAATCAAATCTGTATGAAAATGCAATGTTATTAATACATAACAATAGTGATTGTAAAATAAGAATGATAACAGTAATAAACTTCAACAATAAAATGAAACAAAATTCTGGTAAGAACGTTAGTTTGACCACGGTGAGGTAAGTGAATACATGTAGTACTTCTGAACAATGGTTCGGGTTTCAGGTCCCGAAAAGACAGTGATTCAGCTATGTATAAACGGCGTATTCGAAGGTTTTTCCTGAGATAGTGAGGAACTCTACGCATCATTGTGAAGCAGTCATGTGGGGATGCCCAATGTCCAGAGTTGGCTGGGTATTCTAACTGACTAGTCAAGCTGTTCCAGAATACGTTTGCGGACTTGACGTTGTGCACGGCCAATAACACTTCGCTCCACAGGAACAGGTAAACTGATAAATACACACTGAGGTGGCCAGAAGCGATATTTTATCCTTAACGCCTGCATTGACTGTCTGCTGGAGAATATCGCTCGTAAGATGGCTTCTTTAAATGTCTCCGATGACATTTGGAAAGGCGATTTTAATAATTTCTGCTTCAATACTATCCTGAAATTTAGGTTCATGAAGAGTTTCCTTAGGAACAATTGCAACTTCGGTGACGAAGGCTTTCCTCTCATGTTTCTGTTTGTAAATCTGGGTGGATATCCGTAGTGTCACGTAGATATTTTAATTCAGCCTCTATCGTATCTTTTGAATCTGTCTGTCTGTCTGGATTCAACATAGAACTTGGCACCGAAGTGCAGCAGTTCGAATTGCCACGTTCCAAAGAGCACACAAAGGTAGAAAAGAAAATGAGTGAGAAGAATCAATAGAGTTTTGACAGGTATAAGAGTGAAACAGAATGGGTAATGGTAGAAAGGAATATGAAAGATTACAGAGACTGAATACATCTGCACCATTGACAACGATTTTGAGCCATGTCACCTATTGTCTCCAGCCATTGATTCTTAGAGTCCCGAGGGCAGGCCCCAACCCGGAAGTCTGCATCTCCCTACCTGACTCAGTTTAACTGTCAGGGATTTCATGGATTGATGCCATGTTTTTGTTTGGCCACCACTTACTCTTTTCCAACCTGCACCTATATCAGCTAGTAATGCCCGTCGGGGGAGGCGATGGTTAGGCATGCGCAGCACGTGACCTAGCCATCTTAATCTATGTAACTTTATAGGCTCTTCGATTGATTTTCCCTCTTTGCCCAACACTCTACGCCTAACGTCAACATTACTTACCTTATTATACCACCTAACGCGAGAAAGAGATCGTAAACATCTGTGGTCAAAAACAGACAATCTCTTCATGTCTTCCGCTCTCAATGGCCACGTGTCACCGCCATAGAAAAGGACGGAGCGAACTGCTGAGCAGTACACACGTCCCTTGGTTGATGGCCAAATGTCACGCCTACGCCAGAGACGGTGTAAGTTAGCGAAAGCAGCCCGAGCTTTTTGGATCCGTGCTGAGATTTCGTCACCAATCAATCCGTTGGTGCTGATACAACTTCCCAAATAGGTGAAGTGGTCAACATGTTCTATCACTTCACTCCCTATCACTAAGCTAGGAGTTGACGTAGTCCAGTCCTGTAGCAGCATCTTACATTTTACAGGGGCGAATCGCATGCCAAACATACGAAGATTGCTGCTCAGGGTGTTCAGAAGACTCTGCATTTTGTCAGCGTCCTCCCCTAACAGGACTATGTCATCTGCATATTCTAAGTCCGTAAGACTATTCCCTGGTAACAAGTCGATTCCTAAGTCGTTAAGTTCAGTTAAGGATACTTCCATTAGCATATCTATGATGAAGTTAAACAGAAAAGGGGAAAGTGGACATCCTTGATGGACACCACTGGTTGTTATCAATTCATACGAAAATTCCCCATAAGCCCTTACATGGCTACGTGAGCTTGAGTAGAGTGCCTTGATTAGTGCAATGTACTTTCTTGGCACTCCCTTCACAGTCAAACATTGCCATAGTACCTCTCGATCAACGGAGTCGAAGGCCGCCTTCAAGTCAAGAAATATGGAAATTGTTGGACGCCTAAAAGTGTGTCTATGTTCTAGGATCTGTCGGAGAGTGAAGATATGATCTATGCACCCTCTACCTGGCCTAGAGCCCGCTTGATTTTCCCTCGTTTGTTCCTCCCGAGTTCGGCTTAGTCTGTGCATGATTACTGAGCCTAGGATTTTAGAGACTATGTTCGTCAGGCTGATTCCTCTATGATTATCACATGAGGATTTGTCTCCCTTCTTGAATATTGGTATAATAAGTGACTTACCCCAATCTGATGGAACCGTCTCTAATTCCCAGACGTTACCTGGTACCTTAGTTAAACTATATACTAGTATGTCACCCCCATATTTAAACACCTCCGGAATAATTCCGTCGGATCCTGCCGCTTTGCCTCGTTTCAAACTACGGATAGCTTTTGTGACCTGACTTACAGACGGCAGGCCAGTGTCTATGTCCCATTCGGGTGTATGCTGGATGGCGGGGAGGCTCAGTGTGGCTGTAGGCAAGTTAAATTTTTCCTCAAAGTGTTCCTTCCGGCGTTCAAGGCGTCTATCCTGAGATCTAATTAAGGAGCCATTTTTCTCAGAGATAGTCTCACTTATGATTTGCCTTCTCCCACCCGTTTCCCTGATGAGTCTAAAGAGTTGCCTAGTGTTGCCTATCGCCGATGCTTTTTCCATCTCTTTCGCCTTTGTCAACCACCACTGTTCACGGTCCTTGCGGAGACTTTTCGTAAGTTTCCTTTTGTGCAGCTTTCGCTCCTCATTGAATTCGGAGCTCGCCGGAATAAGTCTTCTAGCATCTGTCAGTTCGGATGAGGCAGTCGAAATCCAATGGTGTTTACTCACCTTTGGATTTACCTTATTCACAGCTTTTACAGCTGTATTTATGGCTGACTGGTATCTTTTGAATAGATTTTTTTAATTCTTGAGCATAAGGTATGCACTGCGTTTTGCTTTCGCACCAATGGGATAAGGCTCTGGAAGTTAATAACCTGTCCAGTTCATGTTGGCTTTCCGTAAATTGATCTTTGGATGGAGTTGTCTTGTCTTCTGGTAAGTAGCACATTTGGGAATAGAAACTGCATATTTGATTTATGTTCTAGGGTAAATTTTATTGACGAGTGTCTTGCATTGAAAGCGTTCAGGGGATTGTTTAAATCAAATATTTCATTACAAATTAGTAAAGTATGATCTACATATCTTTTGTGAAGGTGTAATTTACTGATCAAAGTATCTCCAATGTTTTTAGCTTTTTTATTTAGTATTTACTTCTCCAAACTAAGTTTACTATCCATGTATGTGTACGTATGTATAGTGAAGCCATAGCTCATTGGTTTAAGCACTCAAATTGCAACCTGCAGGTGGTCACGGGTTTGAACCCCACTCCACCTACTGAGACTTCTGGACCTTCAGGTAGTATCGCTAGTCCATACAATAGGTGAGACTGGACTGCATGGAATTGCTACTGTTTGTTGAGTAATATTATCAATGCATAGTAATAATAACGGATTTATGTGATGTATGAACACTTTACTCACCAGTAATTGCATTCTTCCAAAAACGCGAAGAATAATCTTCATTATTCTCACATTTGGTATCATCTTCCCCCTCGCCCTCTTCCACCTCTGTTGTTACTGCCACTGCCTCTTCTTCTTCTTCGCCTTCATCATTTCCGTCCTCTACTTTTACAGCTTTTCCATCATTACTTTCCTGGCATTCTTTTTCTGCAATATCCCCACTATCTGAATCAGACAGTACAGTCTCCATCTCCTCTTTCTCTGATTGTTTATCTAATGGTGTATTCGAAGGAATTGTATTGTCCAGCAGTCCAGCGGAATTTTGACTAGTTGAGTTTGATTTTGCACGAGATCTCAGTGAATGACCACGTGATATACGTGACGGGTTGTCCACTGGGGGGCGTCTTGAGTGTTTAGGAGTTGGAGCAGTCGACGATGGATCAGAGAATGAAATGTCTATAGACACTGGACTCGCGCTGTGTGAACAAGGGACTGAATGTGGATGTGTAAATGAAGTAAGCTATAGTGAAGTGAAAAGTAAACGAAGATGAGATGTAGATCAAGTTTGCTTAGTAAGATATATAAAAAAATAATAACTGCGTTATTCATTTAATAAAAAATGATAAATCAGCATAATACGCGTAGTGTAAATATAAATATTGCCAATGAAATGACTAAGATAGGGCAAAGCTGTATTTTTAAATTTACAGTACGATGTATCGTCTACTGTTAAATGATACTGCATATTATGGATCAGCTGGCAGATCGGTAAGTATGGAGGCTTCTAAACACGTGAATCAACTCAAAGCTGTCAGAATTCGCGAAACTATAACAATATTATAATACTATTATTATTCGCCCGGGTTTCGAGTGGGAGAGAGGGCTGCAAAAACACATAACTAGTTCATCTTGTCTGTTGCACTCCCTTTTAGCTGGGTTCATGGTTGCCCATAAGATCTCATCTCCTCCTCGCATAATCTCCTCCATGTCACCCTTGGGAGCACAGTCCGTCTCTCAACAGTATAGAATAGAGGAAAGTAAAAGGAATAGAATGATATCACAGCGAAGGAAAGTCCTCTCGATAAGCAGCAGATTAGTTAAATGGCAGTGTAAAGATCATTTATACCAACTGAATATATTTGTGACACTCACAGACTTCTAGTCATGTCAGAGTTTCCTATCAGCTATTCTTGATACCTCAGAAGTTCCAGTTGTGCAGTATGGGCAAACTAAAACAACAATGATAACCTAAGAGTTTTTTCATTAAGCATCACTGCTTACCACTTTTGTTACTCGTGTATGACTCGCATAAATTAAGGGGTATCGTGACAGAGAAGAATATTTATAACTCTCTTTTATGACGATAACAAGTAGGATAGTGATAATATGGATTTTAACTCTTCTAAATGTTCATTGGACAATGTTTAGTTTTTAAGTGCTTAAAAAACCTTTACCCATTTCCTCAGGGTGAATGAACAATTACACTAAGTGTCTAACTGAACGTATTGAATTTTTTGGTGATGGTCTCTGATGACGCAACAAAAAAAAAACAGAATGAATCGTTAATATAGTAAATAATATTTTTTAAATTTATACACTTTAGGCCAATAATCGTAGACGTTATCAAGAATTTTAATGTATCATCATTGGTTATCTTGCCCTCTGATACTTTTGTGGCTGTGAAGATGAAGGCACTGAGGAAAAGGATTTATTTATTTACTTAAAACACAAACTTGGTACATCACGGGCATCAAGAGATGCGCCGCACAAAATCTAATACTTTAAGCGACGGCTGATATACTGCCCGAATACCTAAGCAGATGCAGGTGGTTGTCTTAGGGAACAACCCCACCAACCTTTGCCTTCAAGTCTGATCCACAAAGCAATGGAGCAGCGTTCCCATGGTTGACGATGACTACTACAAGTTCATACGCCATTCGACCCGTTCGGATTCTGGAGCCCATGTAGGTCATAGGTTCGGAACAGTAGTTCCTCGACTCCCCTAGGTAAACGTGCGTGTCCATCGGTCGGGTAATAAGTGCCAAACAATCGCATTTGTGTTCCCACCTGCTACGTAAATGCCGTAAATAATACTTCAGGATAAATGCGCATCCAACCAACAGTGTCATTGTACCACGAATACCATTCACGAACAGTGTAGTCAGTGTTTAAAAATATAACAAAGTTATTTTTAATAAACGTCTGAACTACGGAAAAGATTAGACTATGTAGCATTCATTGACACCAACAAAAAACGGAATGCACCCTACGAAAGACATTTTCTGGCAGAATACATTGGGATTTTGCGAAACAACCAGACTGACTTCAAACCTTTTTATGCAAATTCTCACATATTCAGAAACCCAGCATATTGGCAATTTATCTATGATCTCAAAATCAGAGCTAGAAGTCATCTAGACAGTTTTTCTTGTAGTTTTTGCAAATGTTCCCCTTCACCTGAACTTAAGAGGATCAAATCAAAAGCTGACTATATAAAGATTGTTAAATAAATCTGCTTATGCACTAAGATAGGCATACACCTGCATGGGATTCTGAATGGTAACAGTCAAGTAGACATAGAAATAAACTATATTTGACCGAATATGTTGGGGATTATACTGTTTCACCTCAAAACATATTTATTGCAAGTGTTGGTTCTCCAAGACGATTAGTTTTAAGTTAGATCACGGGTTCGCTAAGCTGAGTGTGAGGAGAAATACTTGCCCACGACACTCACTGGTGGTTGCACTATACACCCCGAAATGGTCATTGAACTGAATGATCAACGGGCACCCCTTCCAACTTGAAAGTTTTGGGGGTGCTTACTTCTGGGACGAAACAGTTGTTCAGTACTGCCTAGGCTTTCTATGGTCCTCTAACTGATGTTAATTCGTGATTTAACTTGAAATTTTTTAATTCGTCACTTCCACAATGCTCTCAAAGAGATTACCACCTCTAGTTAACTATGAAGATACACACGATTTTTCTGGGGCTATAAGATTTGAGTATCTTTAGTTGGTTTTTATAACTCAACAGAGAAACAAAGCGAACTTCACAATATTTACCCTAAAAAGTTTAAAAAAGATAAGAGTTAAAAAAATTCCATTGATAGTACGTTTGCTAGAAAGACATTTATGTTGCATACTGTAGACATCAATTAGAAATATAAAAACTCACGCAGCATAACGGTGAGTCATCAGACTTCTTTTCGATTAACCCCTCAACATCTGATGACGATGAGTAGGTGATTGCATGGTCTATTGAAGTTGGTCTGTTTCGCTGAACAGAACGAGTAGTCTGAGGATCAGTGTTTTCTGTATCTACACTAGATGTTGTAGCAGTACGGCGAGGCTTCTTAGTTGGAGGTATTGATTCCAGTGGCTCTTGTGTTGAAGTATTAATTGTAGGAGGAGTAGCAGTACGTCGACCACCCTTTAAACGTGCCGGTCTACCTTTAGAGGCTGGTGTATTTATACTGCGAATATTAGTGTTTGAAGAAATTCCATAGGTAGCTAACAGTTCATCCAGAGACATCTGACTTTCCTAGAATTAACAACCAAACAGTACAGCATCAACTAAAACTAACCGGTTAATTAAAAATACGCATAATAGGCTAGATAATTACATTTACGATACATACTCAGTGCACGTGTGTTTATAATTACTCTGGACGGAATAGGTGAAGCGCAGGTGCAAACCACCACAACTGGTTGAAAGTTAGATGCCCAAAAACCAATGAGCTGCAACCCCAAAATAACTACTTAGCATTTATTTGATGTAATTTTTTCCACATACATACTGAGTCTCAAAGTAGGACTGCACAAAAATGCAGCAGTTTGAGTAGCTACACTACATATATAACACGAAGTTGGTGAAATGTAAAGAAAATTCAAAAAACTATGATGGGCGGAAATGCACAGGAGAAAGAATTATTCAATGGATAAACATGAGGAATTAATGGCCTTTGAAGACTACAAAGAAAGAATGCACGTGCCACTGACTTTTTTGAACCAAATCACCGTCAAGGTGTTTCTCCCGTCTCAGTCTTCTATCCTGAAAAGTGATTCAAATATCTCACTTTTCTGAAGTCATTAAACTTATCATTTTTTTAAAAAAGTTTCCTTAATGAATCTACAGTTGTCTGGTATTATCTACCACCGATGTCTTTTCCGTATGTTTGGCGTCCACTACTGCTCAGTGTCATCGCAAAGACTTACACTTAGCATTCAATTGAGCAACTTCCGCTTCTCGTTAGGTTTGCAACCCGCCAGCACCAATCTTCTTGCGCCTGTTAGTTCGGATGGAGCAGCCGAAATCCAATGGCATTTACTAAACTTTGCCAGTCTTTCCCAGGATGTGTCTTGCTGTAAACTTTAGGTCCTTTTTGGTTATTTCTACCCCAAATAGAGACCTCGTACCTGTCTCATAGTCGTTTAGTCTTGGGCAAATACGCGCACGAAACAGAGGATGATGGGAATCTAAGCAGGCGTTCCAGAAAGAGTGCCAGTCTTCTGTCGACTCTTCCCATAATCAGCTTTTAACTACGTGATTTACTTGGGTATATTATTCATTTGATGATGGAGATCGCCAAATTAGGCAGTGTTTCCCCTTATATTTAAAGTTGGTGCTGACCATGAATAGATATTTGTGCTCACAGACACTCAGATCAATGCACAACGATGCACATTTCTTTACACAACTGCCTGTTATGGATTCATTACAGATTAGCACAATAAGCCAACATAAAGTCAAAATAGAAAGAGAATTCCATCACCAATGAACAACCGACACACTTACTTTCATAAGACTTGATACTTCTTCTTCGTCCGCAGCATCTTCTTCTGGTGGAATGCTGTCATCATCTTCAGCTGAAACATCACGTTCATCAAAATCACTATCACTCGCTCCATCAGTCTTCGATGCAATACTGTCTAAACAAGCGTCCAGACTATTTACAGTGGTATTGGAACCATAATTTGCCTGATGTTCAGTACTTTCTGAACCAGGCATATTTGTTTCCCAATTTTTCTCAGTAACCATAATTTGCAGAATTCAGGTTGAAAAAGAAAGCATTCACACAATATGACCTGAAACACAAACAAACAGTTTACTGCATTATAATGTTCTACAGAAATGATGAAACGAGTGAGAGTCGATTAGATGATATTGGCGTCTTCAATACTGCGCGCGTCTGTATTCTGTCGTCAGTCGTAATAGATATATCTAGATGTCAAAAGGTGGAAAGAAATGTAATATATCGTAATACTGCAAATGGACATGTACTAAATCTCCAATGAGAGCAAGATGTTACAACGAAGGCATGAAGAGTTTCAGCTGGTTCCTCAAAATAAAGAAAAAGTAAATTTACGTAAAAAATGCCACAGATGTGGCGAAAAAAAAACCACACAGGAGGATCAGATACAACACACACTGAGACCAAAAAAGCATAAATCGAACGTGACATTGCATATAAGAACTAATGAACGTGTATTGCTACTCTAATACAATGAAATAGATAACAGGAATAGAAAACTAGAAACAGAATATCTGTTCACATATACAGAACACCACTTGAAATTTTGGCAGTAACTAACTTGCTTCACGCGCATGTTGAAACGCATCATATCCTGACACAAGAGAACAACATGTCCATCAAATAACGTAGATAGGTGTTGTAATCTGTGGCAAACAGCTTTGGATAGCCTAACTGTGGACAGCATATAGGTGTAATCTACATCATTTAAATATGATTAATGAATTTACGGCGCAATAACAAACTCAAGGTTGCAACTCGAAAGGTTTAGTCAAAAAGGATAGTGAGAATAGATCTTGGCAAACCAAATCAACCAACTGATGACTAAAAATCATCCCTTTTTGAGTGAAATTACATTCAAATGAGAAAAGCAACATCATTAGCTGGTCGGTCACTGGTTCGAATCCTACTCCACCTACTTCAGCCTCGGTAACTGGAGAGTACCACCAGCTGTCCTTCTGTTTAGGTGCAGCTCATTGCCCGATACCTGGAAAAATTTGTGCTCAATAATCAAGTTGAGAAACGAGGAACTGACCATTGTCAGAAAGGGTCAGTGAAAAATTATCCCTTTTCTGAAGGCAAGTTTGAATTTTAATCATCGGCTAATCCATGTACTCGTGTACGGAGAGAAGTCAGTTATATATGAACAAATAATCATTTGTTACATTATTTATTTAATCCTCGCAGAATTTGCTACGAAAACATTAAAATATAGTCAATTTCCAGAAACAATTTCTTAGAGCAAGTCTATCTTCTCATTTTTGTCTGAAATAACTAGTGCAAAAAGACAACGTGCGTTTACACTACGATGATACTAAACGGAAAATAAGTATATCTGTCGGTTACAAACGGTAGTGGATAATACAAAGGAGGATGGAGAGGCTAGCGATTTAAGTTTTTTTTTATTCCTTTACGTTAGCAGTAGAACATAGGGCTTCAAGCTAGAGGCTTGAAGTTTTGGTAGCAGTGGTGTTTATTTTTACGGCATGGGTTTGCTAGCCTCATGTCCAACCTTCCCTCTTTACCAGTCTCAGTACTGGCTCAGCGAGGTGAAGGAGTGCGTCGGTCGGGGATCGAACCCCGGACCACATGCGTGGTTGGCAAGCATTCTACCTCTATGCCACCAACACACGATTTAGGTTAGTAGTTAGCATTTATTAAAATATGAGTTGAAAGAAGTTAGCAAATATATTATCTAGAGAAATCGCCAACAGAAACACCGAAATTTCATGTAATGTTACAAAGACACTGATAATCAATAACCTCAGATACATTTATGCCTTCTTCCCCTATCATGTGTTGGAGTCGCATATAAGTAACGAGCTTTCCTACACATCACACATTACTGTACACGTTGGTGGACATTTCACTGAGCCTAAGTAGTGCAAATAGTTGGATATTAGATGAGCTTTTAGTATGTGTTTATACGTCGTCACAAATTTCAACTGTCTAATATAGCGAATTTGCCAATATAAAATTTTATTTGTAACCTTTGTATCCCTGTATATGAACCTGAAGCATGGTATTACAACTGAGAAATGTCAAATACCAGATATGTTTAGAATTCTACTAAACCATTCAGAAAACACTTTACAAATACCACTTAACACGCTTATTGTTCCCACACTAGTTTAACCAGGTGTTTTCCAGGCAATTCACGAATCCACAAGTTGAAGATGAGCAGATTTATTCTAATGCATGAATTGTGACAGTAAACATTCTGAGCTCATATCAATATTATCTTATACAACCACATCATAAGCTTAGAAACGGTTTGGCATAAAAGTGAAGCAGAGCATCTCATTGTTAACCCTCGGTTGATGGGATCGAATGTGGCCCCTCGATTATAAAATTGTAATCCTAATTACCCACCATGTCCATGTGTGACAACTGACAACAACTAGCTGTCCAACCAACACAGATGCAAAGCGACCAGCTGGTGCAGAGCCTTAATCCCAGTTTTACCTTTATAATAGATGCGGCTAACTATTTGACTCACAATTATGAACGTGAGTACGACACTGAATTCTCTTCATTTCAATGTGTACTTTAGTCGTTTTAGCCCATAAGTGTCACCTCCAACGACTCATGTAGATGAAGCGTCAGATGATGAAACCTACTGTATACTGATGTGATCATTACAACCCTATGAAAGCCCAGTCATCGGCATACACATGCCACTTAGCCTGTAAATGGATAGTGGGCAACCAGACGCGACAATAAACCAGTTGGACTACTATATGATTTTCTCAACACCACCAATCTTTTTAGCAAAAGCAATTAGGAATTAAAATCTGAATGATAGTTACCAATGTTTTTGGAGGGCCATTGTTTCATGTCTGTTAGGTACTGCTTAGTGATGATATATTTTCTAGCCCATTTTTGATACCACCGCTGTTCGAGTGTAAACAGGGTAACGAACTCTTATTTTGTGCAGATTTAGAGATAAAATTTTGCTCTATATCTTATAACTTAGTTGACACAGGCTTTGACTGATAATTCAACCACAAAATTTGAATGAGCTCAAGACTATTGAGTGAACCATCTGAAGATTAAGAGATTGAACTCGTAACCAGGAATAAATGTCACTGAAAAAAGTGACCATCAGAGATGTTAAATAGGTTTCGAATAAATATAAATGTCTCAACTAGTGTGATTTAGTGTGTGTAACTGATTGCCCTAGAAGTTTCGATGAATAAGTCAGATTATAGATAGAAGCCAATAAACACTATCGCTGGAGCAGTTAGCGAGAAAAGACTGACCAAGGCTGTTAAGAACACAACCGCGACGGCAACCTGTAATTATCACTGACAATATTGCTCTACCTAACATGAGACTGAACAAAGACACCTATGGCCGAAATCTGCTCACCTAGTGTCCCCCACATTCTTGCCTTCACCGTGAAGTAGGACAAGGAAGTGCTGCATAGTACACACGTCCTTCGATGAATATCACATCTGCGCCAGGAAATGCAAAATGAGCCTTATGTACCAGCGATAGGACTTCTCGAGTGAAGCGATGAACACACCCAGCTATCTCATTCCTTATTCCTAAACTGTGAATTATTACATACCACTTCTTTGACATTACCTTACATTTGACAGGAGCAAATCGTCCTCCCAAATACTCAGTTTTTATTTTAATTATTCAGAAGACTACATACTGTTAGCGTCTCCATTCATAAATATTATAGCAATTGTGTATTCTAGGTCTCCTGGTGACAAACCACTACTCAAGAGTGCCTTAATTAATGCAGTGTACTTTCTTGGCGCTCCCTTCACAGCCAGACATTGCGACAGGACCCTTAGACTGAAAGTTAAGTGTTGCCTTCTTGTCCGGAAATATGACAAGCGTTAGAAAATTGAGCACCAATGTGCTAGAAACTGTCGAATGGTGAAGATATTATCAATGCATTCTTATCAGCATTTGATGCGTGCTGACTTTTCTCAAATTGACCTTTCCTGAACTTTAGTCTTCGGAGGACTTTGGAACCTAGAATATTAGATGCCGCTTAACCACGATAATTTCCATGATTACTACAAGATTTGTCACCTTTCTTGTGAACCTCGATGACATGAATTAATTAAAGAGGAAATATTCATTCAGACATCTATAAAACATAAAATAATTGAGCAAAGAATATCCTTTTCGATAATTTCCTCTTCTGGCTCTACAATTATATATGTTTATATACACAGAATATTCTAGATTAGTAGTCAATAACAATATTAGTGTTTTTTAAATAATATCGGTTTGTAAAGTGAGATGGATGGAATTATAGTTCATTAAAGATGCCTGAATAATAATAATAATAAAGATATAGTAGCAAGTAAAATATCATCTAAAATTAGGAAAATTCCACAAAAATTCAGCATCATTCAAACCTAGATGGCCAAGGTAAGGATAACTAACTAATTTTGGACTCACAAATTAGGCTTCTTAATGTGGATCCCAACAGCCTCAGCAATATTTAGTAGTCGAACTCTTAAGGCGAAACTGAGATTTGTTGGTACGCGGTAAATGACTCTGAAAGCATGGTTAACATCAATCTTGTGTTCTGTATCTACAAGATGAGAAACAATAGCGCTGCGAATAGATTTTGTTTAATTTTACTTAACCACACAGGGGGATGTACAGGGCTACTATATATTGCTGAGGCTGTTGGGATCCACATTAAGAAGCCTAATTTGTGAGTCCAAAATTAGTTAGTTATCCTTACCTTGGCCATCTAGGTTTGAATGATGCTGAATTTTTGTGGAATTTTCCTAATTTTAGATGATATTTTACTTGCTACTATATCTTTATTATTATTATTATTCAGGCATCTTTAATGAACTATAATTCCATCCATCTCACTTTACAAACCGATATTATTTAAAAAACACTAATATTGTTATTGACTACTAATCTAGAATATTCTGTGTATATAAACATATATAATTGTAGAGCCAGAAGAGGAAATTATCGAAAAGGATATTCTTTGCTCAATTATTTTGTTTTTTATAAAGCAATTAACTACATTGGTCGAACAAGCCAATCACACACTGGCTAGTACCTCAGTTAACCTAGGCGATTACCCATCATCACCATTCTTCAGCGTACATTAAGACCAGTTTTATCCTAAGACTACCGCACTACGTGAAAATGTGTCTCTAACGAATTCTAGCTGTATTTCCGATAGCTACTGTGAGTACTTTCAATGGTGAAAGCATTTTGTTTTAAGAAGAATAATAGGCAAAATCTAAGAGGGTGTACTGATCACATCCCCACCCTTTGACAGACTCTGGAACAAGCAAACTTACCAACGTCTAACAATCATCACATTTCTTGACCTAAAGGCGGCATTCGATTCCGTCGACCGAGAGGCGATGTTTGGTTGTGAAGGGAATCCCGACAAAATACATTACACTGGTCAAGACACTACTCGAACTCATGCAGCCAGCCAGATGAGAGCCCACATAGAGTTGTTATCTGAAGCGGTGACAACCTGTGATGTCCGTCAGGAATGCCAACTGTCCCCATTTATGTTTAGTCTCATCATAGGTGTACTAATGGACTTAACGCTAACTGACTTCAGCAACTCAGGAATTGACTTGTTATCAGGGGATAATTTCGTTGACTTAGAATATGCAGATGATATAGTCCTTCTAAGTGAAGACGCTGACAAAATCCAGCAGACTCTTCTGAACACCTTGAGCTGTAATCTGCGAATGTTTGGCATACGATTCGCTCCCGCCAAATGTGGGATGATGCTACAGGACTGGACTACATTGACTCCTAGCTTAGAAATAGGGAGTGAAGTGGTAGAGCGTGTTGACCTCTTCACTTATTTGGGAAGCTGCATCAGCCCCAACGGGTTGAATGTCGACGAAATCTCAGCACGGATGCAGAAGACTAGTTCCGTATAAGCCAGTCTACGCCATCTCTGGCGTAGACGTGATATCCGGCTTTCGACCAAAAGGCGTGTGTACTTCTCAGCAGTGCGCTCTAACCTCCCTTATAGTAGCGAGACATGGCCATTGAGAGTGGAAGACTTGAAAAGCCTGGCTAGCTGTCTTTGTCTGCGTTCTATCTCCCGTGTGAAATGGTATAATAGGGTGAGCAATATTGAGGTTAGGCGTCGAGTGCTAGGTAAGGAGAGGAAATCAATTGATGGGTTTGTGGAATAATATCGGTTGAGATGGTTAGGACATGTGTTACGCATGCCTAGCCATCGCCTTCCTCCACGGACAATGTTAGCTGAAACAGGGTCAGGTTGGAAAAGAGACAGTAGCGGTCAAACGAAAAAATAACCTCATCGGTCAGTGAGATCCACAACAGTTAGTGCAGACTTCCTGGTTGGGGTCCTCGGAATGGTAAGAACCAATAAAGGCTGGAAACAACTGGTGATATGGCTCAAAATCGTTCTCAATGGCGCAGATGCATCTACTCCTTGTGACTTATAATACCCAACAAAACTATATTGTCCTCTGATATTACTATTCTTTTTGCCTCATATCTCTGTGTACTGTCTCTACTTTGCAATACCTTTTACTTTCTTCTCTTGCTGTGTGCGCTTAGTGAAGTGCGGCGACTAGAAATGCTACACACTGGTGCAAAGTTCTATGATGAAACCAGAAAGTCAGACACGCAAAATCTGATGTTGGCGTATTCACACAACTTAATAATCCATATTCAAAATCAGAATGCTACAAGAAAAATATAGGGACAACAGGAACACAGACCTCAAATGCCTTAGTTGTTAAAAATAACTATGAATACTATTCATCAGTATGCACTGTAAATCAGTCCAGAAAACTAGGATTGATGTGGTTGACTCCACCATGTGCACCCATAAAAATCTTCAGACCTGTAGAATCAATAATCACCAAAATGTAATTTGCAAGCAAAAGTGGTACCCGGATATTTCGCATTATCCTGGCTGCATAATTCTATCGAACTCAGACGAGATTCAACTAGTTTCCAAAGCTGAAGTATCGTAGCAAGTGCACACTGTGCTTGTCATCACCGGTATTAAGATTACAAATACAGAAGGAATTGATGACTGTTTTCGAGGAACACTTCACTTCAAAGAATTATTTAGAAGACTTACGTGAGATGATAAAAAGCAAATGTATTTTGGGATGTCTAAGTCAATAAATACTTACATTAACATAGGTACATAGACAGCACGTGTGCTGTGGATAACATACACAATAAGACAAACAAAACTGTTACATTGACCTCTATGATGTTTAGATTTTTGTTGGCTTGCACTTTTTTGACAGTATCACAAGAGAGATTAACTATAATTCATTTATCCTCGAAACATACTATTTACAACATCCTGCAATCCACACATTGTCATAATTCTCATAAAATACAACTCCACATAAAAAAACAATTTTGGACAAGAGGAAGTTTACGACTGTCACAAGTAATCAACATACTTTCCTGCGGACACTGCGGCAGACGAGTAGCAATGTAAATTAGCGCCTTTGTAGACTAGCATCAATCAAAACGAAATTCAATTTAGTTAATACCAAAAATGTGCTCGTATTATTCTTGTTCTGAGCGTTTCGAACTGGTTATTTATTGTGCGATATATGCTTCTCGTTAAATAGAACTAACACGTCGGAGTAATGAAATAAGTAGGCACATGTGGCGGTACTTTCGATATTATTATGACAACTCAGTGAGTGTGGCTAAATTCTATGACGCATTGTATGGGTTATCGCGTTCACGCCTATAGAGACGTTCTAATCGCTCAGTTTTGTAAAAATAGATTTTATTTGACTAATTTTAGGCTTTTGTAGCGGAAAAAGCAACATTTTTCTGTATTGTGTTCGTAGTAATGCGTAAAATTGTCATGATGGCGTAGACGAAATATTAATAAAAAAGAGTCATCCTTTTGAAGAAATTTCGCATAAAAAGACTGTTATTTGCGTTTTAGAGCATTGAGGCACTGTTTTTTGTGAGTTGTTTTAGATCTTAAGCTTGTAAATTGACTGCATGCGATGGCTGTTTTCATCCCAGTTATTCTATGAGAATCGTTCATTTGAAAGAGAAATAGCCTACAGACACAAGTTAAATGTGTGTTTTGAGGATGTTAGACACTTCTTTTATCATCTGTGATGACTGAAATATTCCATAACACATGGAAGAGATCATGCGATGAATGAGACTTGGCTGCTGCATTTCCTGGTGATAATATATACTTTGATGAATTTCCTACTTAAAATTGCTTAGGCGAAGATATGATACTAGTTTAATTGACATTTGCACTTGGAATTTCAGAAGGCCTTAATTATACATTGTCAAAAATGGCATCAGATTATGTTTATATCAGTGTGCATCGGGTTACGAAGAATAGTGTAGATGGTCCTCCTGAAATGTCAGACTACTTAAAATTAGTATCAGCTTTCTGTCGATTAGTAGCTAGCAGATGTGTCCTACAACTACTGCACCTGTTACATAAGTTGTCCCAGTCTTAACAATTGTTCGTGTTCAGATCACTAAGATATTCTGAGATCCTTAATGAATTACTTGTGGCTATGAAGGATATGGAAGATGCACTTGTGACTCATATGTTTAAATCATTTATTATGAAAGAAGTTATCTATAGGGATTTTGTGATGTTCAGGTTACAATGCTTGAGTGTATGTAGTGACTGCATGCTTCTGTGCGTGAAGGAAAAGTTGGTTAAAATGAAGATGTGATGAAGTTTTTGTAGTGTTCATTGTGAATGGTTTACAAGTTAACATTTATTATTTGCTTGCTGCTATACTGTATTAGACGAACAATCTCTGTGTGACATTAAAAACTACACAAGAATGCTATCATCACCAGAGAATGAAAAAGGAAAATGAACCTTTTTCAGCAAAGGTATGCAAATATAAAACTTTAATATTACTTCTTCCTTACCTCAGCGATTAAAAACATACACTTTGTTCAATTATTTACAGATATCCGGTATATACACACTGGGTCATAGGAGTTATTAAAAGACAATTGCAGCGAAGAAACTTTTCTTTTGGACTTCGTCGAAAAGATATCCGGTAATGTCAGTCAACTTCGTCACAGCAATTCAACATGGGCGAAATAATTACGAAAAACAATTGTGTAAAGACATTTGCTTTTTTTCATTAAATAGATTTAACATCCTGCTTACAATACTTTTCTTATTCTATCTGAGTGAAACTAAGTTTTTTTGTTTGAAGACAGAAAGAACGAACATGTTTGCAGGATAATACGAGCTCGTTTTATTTCGTGGATTCTCATCAACTGCATACATCCTAAACAAAATCAAATTATAGGTTTCAAGAAAGTTGTGGAACATACTTTTTCATAAATACTTTGAGTTATAGATAGAAGGCATAAGGAACATAATTCCAGAATTTGATGTAGGTAGACAGATTATTCGGTGTCAAAAAACAACTAATTATATATAGTGGAATTGGATAAGAGGGGTAAGAGTTCAGATTTCTATTGGAAAACAACACAGATTGGTTAGAGGCATATTACAGGGTCAGGGTCAGAGAACAAAGTAAATTTACACATCTTGTGGTTGAGAGTTTAAGAGGGTGGGGGGTGAACAGTGAAGTAACATTTATAACTTAAACAGACAAACAATTAAGTAGATTTAGAAACTTGAAGGTCAAAATTGAATAGAATGTTACGTAACAAGACAAACACACAGGCATACTGACAGAAAGGCAAAACAAAAATAAAATAGAGTTAGGGTTACCAAGGTAGTGAAAGATTAATCACACTATCTTTCTGTATACAAAGGTCTGGTCGAAATCTCTTGATAGCAATGGCTTCTGCGAAGCGAAGTAGCCGTGGGTTTCTTTGTGTATTGATTATTTTGAAGGCTTGGATGATTTCTACTGTGTTTCCTGTGTCAATTAGATGTCTGGCGATTGCACTTGATAACACTTTTCTTCCTTTTGTACGGAGACTCTTAGGAATGTGCTCAGAAAATCTAGTAGATGCTGTCCTCTCAGTCCTTCCTATGTACTTGCTGCCGCAGGTGCACGTGAATTGGTAAATGCAGTTGGAGTTCACATGAGTAGGGAACTCATCTACTTTTGACTGGGTTAACGAGCACAGTGTTGTGAAGTAGTATCAGTCTGGCGGCTGGGAACGTTCTTTTTAATGCACCTGTGATTCTTTTTTGTGTTCTTGTGGATACATCTTCCCCTTTGTACGCTAGACAGATGAAAACTGGTTTCTTTTCAACGGTGTCGGGTTTCGGTTTGTGTACTTCTTCATTTCTATATTTTAATATGAACTTTCGAGGATATCCATTCTCGATAAGGTTCTTTTCGATGATCTCAAGTTCTTCTTCAATCTTGTCTTCTGAACATATTTCTTTGGCTCTGCTGAAGAGCGTTTTTACTAGACATCGTTTGTAACTTGTTGGGCAAAAGCTATGATAATGTAGGTATTGACCAGTCCAAGTTTCTTTCCTGTAGACAGATTTTTGAATTGTCCCATCGTTTCTTCTTTTTATGTTGACATCTAGGAAATGGAACTGGTTGTTTCTTTCGTAGTCAATTGTGAATGCGATGTTGGGATGGGCCGCGTTTTTTTGCATGATGATGCAGATGTCAGACTTATGAATGATACTTGATGATTTATTTGACTGCATAATTAAACGCAAGCGAAATGTTACTACGACTGCTACGGCTCAATTACTTATTTATTCGTCATGTGTAAACTTAATTTTACAGTATACGTTAACACCCGTTATCATAGGGACTGCCATAACGCTTTAATTTAATATTAGTAATACACTGATTTGGAATGCACCTAACCGTATACGAACTGGAACTACAATGCGGTGCCTAAGTTCTACCTATTGTTGTCATTGTTCCCTACAGACTTGCATATGACTATAAGGCGTTTTCACGTAACCGTAGACAGAGACTTAAGGTCCACTAAACTACTTATAATTCAACACGTATATAATAATAAATTGCTTTATTCCAGAAAAAGTACTAGTGGTACAGTGTGGAATTCTCAGCACATATCTACAATATGTGCATCTAATTTTACAGATATTTAAAATAAGTATTAAACAAACAAAAAACAAATCTGAAGACACCAACAGCGAAAAAACAGGATAAATACAAAATAATTATAAATGCGAAGAAGTACCAAAGTCCAATGCAGCGTTTGTGGTGGTAGTGTGAGTAATCCTGAATAATACAAAATTTTTTAAGGTGGTGACTATGGCGTTCACAACCAATGATTGTCAGTTTAATATTGACGAAAAGTATAGAAGATAAGAAAAAATAACCACAAAACTAATACTTACATGATGGTTAATGACAGGACAACTTTGTAATACTCATAGTGCTAATAGAGTCGGAACCAGTGGATACACAAAAGAATGAATATAGTAAAGTACAAAAAAGGAAGCCAATGTTTATAATTTAGGTAGCTAAGTATGTTTGAGAAGGAGTTCACTATAGAATACAAAATAAGAGAGAAATAAAAGAGCCTAAAATTATGTTGTTAATAACAAAGCAAGTCACATGTTTCACGCTTAACATTGTCTCTGTCGCTTAGAACACGGGCCAAGTATGGTATCGTTGAGTTCCTGTGCTTGGTTGTACGAGCATAGATTATTTTATACTGATTTCTGGTTTTACTTGATGAGATACAAGGCGGGAGTTGGGAATAGAGGGGGTGTTGGGGGTCGGAGAGTGTGGTTTTTGACCATTTTTCGCATGTATTCAGATGCCTATCAACTAATGTAGTGACGAGCTGACTGAGTTTTACACCACTAGTCCTACTGGCTACCTTCAACATCCTTCTCAGGATGGTGTAGTCCTTTTTCAGTAGCCCAGGAAAGACTAACAGGGAGCAGTAAAGTGGAATAGGTAAGATACAAGAGTTGACAAATTGTGAAAGTAGAGGTTGGGTGATTCCAGATTGTCTAAGTTTCTTAATGCAGTAGGTAAGACAGAACACTTTCTTAGAAATCATTAGGATATGAGATGTCCAATTAAGGTCGGAAGATAGAACTAGATCGAGGTATTTTGCATTAGACTTAGTTTCACTTTTAGTCCCCTCAATGCAACAGGCTTCATGAGAACTTACTAGTGTTTGTAGATCTCCTTTATGCCTAAGGGAGAAGTCAATAGTCTGGCATTTTGAGGGATTCAGCATGAGACCATTTAGTTTTGATCACTCACTGATGTCCGACAGGAAGCTATTTAATTTGAGACAGTCTGACTGAGACTTAATGGGAAACGATACAGACAGGTCATCTGCGTATTTGACGAAGTTGATTTCATCTGAGAGAAGTAAATCATGTAAGAAGAAGGAAAAGAGAAACGGAGAGAGAACAGCACCCTGAGGAACTCCAGCTTCAGTAAGTAAAGGAGGGGAAGATACACCATAATATACCGTGTACTGCATCCTATTAGAGAAGTTAGAGTGTAGCCAGTTGATAGCCCAGGGCTCAGTCTGTGTTAGACT